TATTTAGATTTCCTTAAAATGTGAATAGAACAGCTCATTTGGAAATTGCATAAGAAATATGTATAAAATACACAGTATAGCCTACAGTACAATTCAAAAGTACTTTAGCAAGATTGCATGAAATCTGGTCACACTTTAGATTATAGGGTCCAATTCTCACTACGAATAGCCTTACCTCAACAAACTCCCACTACAAATATCACTGTTTTCCACAAAACTTTGAAGCAGCACAATTGTTTTAACATATATTAATAAGAAGAAATGTTTCTTGAGCAGCAAATAAGCATATTAGAATGATTTCTGAAGAATCATGCAACACTGTAAGTAAGATGCTGAAAATTCAGCTTTACCGTCACAGGAATAAATTACATTTTAAAAAAAGTTTTTTTTGTTTTATAACAAATAAATTTCATCTCTCAATGAAAAAATAATCTTAATGACCCAAACCATTGAACAGTAGGCCCTATATAAATTGCTGTCACTTTCTAGCTTTATACTCTTACTGTACGTCAGCAATAGTCTCAAGGATCCGAGACTGTTCTGAGATTGGATAAACTGTTCTGAGATTGCATTATTTTAAACCTCAGGATAATGTTAATAGTCAACTTTATCTTTCCGGAACAGATTTTAGTTTATTGTACCTTTTAACATTTACAGGAAGAAAGACTAATAACAATTGACTGCTGGCTCTCTGTGGACATTGATAAAAAATAAAATAAAAAAAGCACTAGAGATTTGGCAAGTGGCAGACCATGTTGGCCTTGGAAAGAGTAGAAGTTTTGACAGACGCTTTGCTATGTATTGCAATTGATCCCTGGAGCCTTTTCATCAGAGAGACAGTCTCTGCTTGTTGGAAATCAGTTTTGGGTCTGTTTTATTATGTCTATTACTCCTCCATTATGTTTGAAGTACTATAGTACGGTGGCCCAGTAGTGCACAACATAATGAAATTTAAAAAGCAATCTTAATGTCACAACACAATGAAATTAAGCCACAACAGAATAAAATGAATCCACAACAGAAAGGAAAATGTACAACACAACGTAAATAAACCACAACACAACGAAATGAAACCACAACAACACAAAATTAAGCTGCAACACAGCGGAAATGCTCCCAACCAAATTATATTTAAGAAATATAATTTAATGAATTTTGATAGTTTTATGAAATTTTCCTTTCTTAAACTAATTTATAAGTGCATTAATAATCTAGCACCTGAGCCACTAAGGACATTTATTGTGAGACAGGACAACATCCGAGTCACTAGGAGCTCCACAAATCTTGACTGTAAAATATCATACTGCAGGACCAGTTTTGGACAGACAGCCTTCTCTGTAAAGAGTTCTAAACTCTGGAACTCTTTACCTTTTGAAGTCAAGACTGTGTCAGACTTTAAGATGTTCATTTCCAGGCTGAAAAATTGGTTAAAAATAAACCAAAACTGTACTCATTTTTAACTACATTTAATTATTAGAGTTGTATATGATAATGATATGCATGTATGCTTATTAGTATTTTTATTATTAGTATTTTTTTTTTATTATTATATATATATTTTTTTTTATTGAAGTAGCTAATCATGTAAATTTTATTGTGTATAAAAGCCCTTCCAGGGACAGGAGTTGAAAATTAGCTATAGCTATAAACTTTATATGCAACACTTCAGTGACATGCTTGATCTTGACACTATGTTTGTTTGCATTGTCCCTGTCAAATAAATAAATAAATAAAATAAAACCACCAGAGGGCTCTGAGCGCGGTAAAGTTAGTTTTCCTTGGCAGTCTTAAAGGGATAGTTCACTCTGAAATTAATTTTTGGTATATTTTAGCTTACCTCAAGGGCATCCAAGATGTAGGCGTCTTTGTTTCTGCAGTAGTTTCAATTTTGATATTTTCAGGTCAAACCATTTGTGTCTCTCAGTCATAAAATGGAGGTCTATGGTCAAAAAGAAGTCAGTTACATAAAAAATTAGATCTAATTTGAACTGAAAAAGTAAGACTCTTATCTAACTGCTGGTTGGTCAAACTATATCTATATTGGCTTAGTTAACTTCCCATAATTCTTTTAAAAACAAACATAAAACGTGAGACAAACAAAAAGCAGTACAGAAAATTCTCTGTTGCCATGTGAGCAGAAACCCTTGTGAAAGACTGCATGAGAACTGTCTCGCATGAGGGGCCTTGATGGAAATATACTTTTAGGGGTCCTAAATGCTTGTTTTTCTAGTCCTGACTATTATTTCTAAGCTCAGCTTATCATTACTAGTAGCAGTGCTAATCCTGCATAGATATAGACAGCCTAGTGCAGTAACATGGATAAACAGAATTTATCAAGTAAAAACAGCGAAACTGTCAGTTATGCTGAGGACGATTGAGGTTCAAGCAGTGGTCGTGGACTCAAGCTGATCTTTTTAAGAAGGTTCAGATAAACCAGCAAAACCAGGTTTGTGACAGGAATGGGTTTCCAGGTGGTGCCACAACTAGCTTTGGTTAATCAGAAGTGATAATTGTGTATGTTAGATATATGTTATTTAGGATTTTTTTATTTTTTTAAAGAAGCTGTCATTACTCTTATTTGTAATCCATTGGCGTCTCTCTATTCGGTTTGAATGTGGGTCTACGTTGTGAGCGGCCTATCAGAAAATGACATTACAGAAGTAGGTCTCTGCAAATGACTTGGCATTGTGTCAGCCCAGCAGCAGTAGCTAGATAACAGAAACTGATCCTTATTGCCACGAAATTTAGAACAGTAGAAGAAAAATTCAATCCAAAGAAATAATTTAATAACGTGAGATTATTCCGAACAAGCTTTTTTATGATCTTCATAGGCATTATCACATTTATTCGTGTAATAGAATTCATTTCTGGACACTGATCTGAACTGATCCTGTGCTTTTAGTGTTACAGCTTTACATTGTTTTTTAATTATTATTATTGACATTTAATAATTTTTCCCTGAGGTGCACTGATAATGTTGATTTTTTTTTTTCTTGCACCAAACTAGTAAGATAAATCTGGTCTGTTTTAGGGCTGCACAATATATTATTGTAGCATCGATATTGTGATGCGCAGGATGTGTGATATGAAGTATAGGGATCGTAGTTGATCCGTGATGCGTACGGGCCAGCTACTCCCCCGGATTGAAATGCATGTTATTCGCAGATTAATTGCATAGTTTAACCATCGTTAAGTGAAAGTTTATCATTTGCATGTGTTTTAAGTCCTGTCAGTTTGAACATCAAGCGTAAGAAGACTGGAACGTGAACACCGAAAACCGTTCCCTGTCTCTTATTTTTTAGCTTAAATGGACACGCAAAATTAAGTCAAAATGCCCGTCTCGTCTCGGCATCAGCAAGTATCAATTGAGAAAGGAAACGGATGCATATCATTTTATTGGATCTGTGCATTGGATCCTAATATAATCTCAGCTGTTTGTCAGCTATTCAAATCATCGGGTAAAATTGTTTTCATATCACAATATATATCGCAGGAAATCAAAATATCACAATGTCAGTTTTCCTCAATATCGTGCAGCCCCTGGTCTTTTATATTTAAATTTTTTTTTTAACCTTTAAGGGTCGTATTTTTTTAACTGTATTTTTTTATCATTAATAAGCTGGATAAAATTGCTCTGAAAGGGATTCCAACAATATTGTTTCTTTGTGCTGTTATCGGTATAACTGTGGTGTGGAGTCTGCAATTATTTAATATTGAGAATGATTTTTAGGACTATATCTTTATTGTTATTTTTGTAGCTGTCGTCCTTGGTGTGAACGGGCCTTTAGGGGTCATTCACACAGAATACGTTTCTAACAGCAAAAGGTCATTGGTCAGTGGAGTGAAAAAAAACGCTTTTTTTTTTAAGTTGAACTTATTTTATCATGTCTGTGTTTGAGAACGCCACATCATGCAAGAAACACTGCAAAATATCCGAGACGTGAGCACAGCAGTCAAACACGAAGTAGCGCAGTCGAATGGAAAAACACCTTCTGTGTGAACGGCTCCTGGGAATGTTAGAAGCACTTTACATGTTAGACTTTTGTAAATACCCTCTGCTATGATTGGCTATGGAATTGGTCCTACTTCCTTTAATGGTATTTTACTGGGACTGGAAGAACTAGTGAATGGATGATATTTGGCCACTCGTCAGTTTAAAGAAGTGTTTGTCTCTCTTTGTTTAGTTCCCAGTGACAGCTTTGTCTATTGTAAACAATTTCTGTTGATGTTTTCATTTTGAGTAAATATGAAGTAAAATAAGTTTGCATGTATTCTCAGAATTACATTACCAATCAAAAGTATTTTTGTCATGTTTTTCAAAGAATTCTCTTTTTCTCACCAAGGCTGAATACTTGTAAATATTGTTAAATATTATTGCAATTACAAATAACCGTTTTCTGAATATAAATCATTTCTGTGATTTTCAACATCACTACGCCAGATCCTTCAGAAATCATTATTTGCTGCTCAAGAAACATTTCTTATTATTATCAATGTTGAAAACGGTTGTGCTGCTTAATATTTCTGTGGAAACCGTGATACACTGTGCTAAATAAGAAATCTCTGATCAATTTAACGCATTCCTTGTGGAATAACAGTATTTCTTTCTTACTTAATACTGCCACCAAACCTTTGACCAGTAGTATATATTGCCCATCAGCTGTTTTTTTTATGTTGAAAATTTCAGTGTTATTACTGTACAAGTTTTAGCTTTTCTTTACCCTGTGATGCATTTCATACCAATGAGCCTGTTATGTATTTTTTAAAGTAAATGACCTGACCGAAAGCCTTTTCAGTAGTCACGGTCAGTAGACGACCCTCCTCCCGTACACATTGTGAACCCTGTAGATGCTGGCATTTATAATTTAATGTTCTAAAGAAATATCCATTAAATCAGGCATTGTTGGCAATTGGCAGTGCTCTCTCGCAGCCAGTACACAAGCTCCTGGACACAAAAGACAAATGATACAATCTATAAAACATCTTCTTGTCTCTGGCAGGTGAATGCGGATGCCAGCAGGCTGAGCCATGCTGGATCGGGGCCTTCCCTGTCCCACGGCGGCCCACAGTATCCTCAGATAGCCATGAACAGCTGCAAGTACAATGGGGGCATAGTCAGACCACACGGCAGTCTGGGGGCATCCCGGAGGAACCTGGCAGAGCTGGACTCTGAGACGCAGCCTTTGCAGACCCTGCACTCTTCCAGCCTGGAGGTGGTGGTCTCCAAAGGGAACGGGGAAGACCCTAGCAAGCAGTCCAGCGAGAACCTTGTGAGGCAAAGACCCTGCAGCACTCCGCATAAGAAGAACAAGGACATTGGCTATAAACTCGGCCACCGGAGGGTGCTGTTCGAGAAACGCAAGCGCCTTAGCGACTACGCCCTGATTTTTGGAATGTTTGGGATTGTTGTCATGGTGACGGAGACTGAACTCTCTTGGGGAGTTTATACAAAGGTAAAAGTTCCTCAGATATTTCGAGTTGCCTCAAAGAGTTTTTGCACACGTAAAGGGATAGCTCATCCTAAAATGAAAATGAAGTCTTCTCAATGCTGTTTGCCCTTCTTTCTTTTGTGGACCACAAAAGGAGAATTAAGCTTTTTAAAAGTCACAAAAGTATTACAGAATGCCTTATTGCGAATGTGTTCTGGGAGTATACTGTACGAAAACACTTTGGTGGTTAATCAGCATTTTTTCTTGTAAAGAAAGTTCCACACAAGTTAGACCAGCGCATACAGCATAAACCTGAACCTCAATTAAAATTCATGCTTGTGTAAGATGGTCTTTTTAGGAGGTCAGTGTTGAATCACAAGATATTGCATGTTGACCTATGCAAGATCAGCCATACATCTTATTTCATCCTTACGACTTTAATTCATACCGCGTAATTAAATGCTGCAGCATGTCGAAGTCTGGGATTGATCTATTTATGATCATTTAAAAACACTAAAAGATGCATTCATCATTGATATCTGCTACTTTGCGTGCACTTGCTTAATGGTTAGAGGCATCAAAGAGCATTAATCAATCGAAGAAACACGTTCTTGACGATTACATTGTGTAATTGTTCATATACACATTTGCACACGTTCACTAAAGGTTTAGCTTAAATACAAAAGGGCCTGAATGAGCTAATTGGCCTTAATTATATCCTTACGTAATTATTTAAGGGAGCTTAATGGGCTCTGCTACAGTATAAGAGCAAGAGATCTTTAATTTGAGGTTTTCTCCTCAGACATTAAAAAAATGCTATTTTTGAAAAATAAGACGATGATTGTATATTACTATTGATGGCTTTTAAAGGGTTAATTCACCCACAAATTATCCCATAATTTACTCACCCTCAAGACATCTTAGGTGTATATAACATTGTTATTTCAGTCAAACAAAATCTGCGTTGTATTATAAAATACTCTGGCTCTTCCAGGCTTTATAATGGGAGTGAATTTTTGAAGCTCCAAAAAGCTCATCCATCCATCATAAAAGTATTCCACACAGCTCTATTAAAGGCCTTCTGAAGTGAACTGATGCGTTTTTGTAAAAAAATTAAAAAATCGATATTTATAACTTTATAAACTATAATCACTGGCTTCCTATCGGGTCAGAGGTCATTCTTCCGCTAGAACTCGACTCGAGACTACGGCCGTTACCGGAAACCAGTGATTTATAGTTTTTTTGTTTTTGTTTGTTTGTTTGTTTTTTTAAGTATTTTTGGGTCAACTAACCCTTTTACCACAGTAAGGACTTTGGGTTGGTTCAAAGTCTCTGTTTAGCTTGTTTCCTTGCCGGACCATTAAAATAGTCACTTACAAGTTGTGTCATTGTCAAATGGTGCTATGGTAAATCGTTTGGCCTAAGTGAATGGCTGGCTCTGTAGTTAGTTAGACGATCCCTTGGGGGAGATTTCTTTTTTCTTTTTTTACCTTCCCCTAAAGCATAGTTCAATGCCTTAGCCAGCACAGCTTGTTCCAGTGTATCAGCAGAGTCAGAAAGGTTTAATGAGCTCCAATTGCGCTGATCTCATAATGAGGATTGACACCCAGAGAGAAAGAACAACTGCTTAGATTGAGGGACAGAATGATGATTGTTAGTAGTTCCTTTCTAGTCACGATTGTGTGTGAAAAAAACTCTATATTGAACTTATGGGCGTGCTTTGTGCTGTAAAATCAGTGTTGGCTATATCTGTTGGAATTGTATGAACACTTGCTATATTTCCCTGCTGGGAGAAAAAATCAACAAGCTGGTTTTAGATGGTCTAGTTGGCCTGGAGCTCCTAGATTGACCAAATTAAAACTGGCTAAATCAGTCTAGAACCAGACAACAGACCAGGTTGGAAGACTAGCTTAGAATACAGGCTGGTTTAATATGTTTTCAGCCTGTTCGGGAGATTTGATAATACTGTTCAAAGTTTGGGGTCTGTTTTTTTTTTATTTTTTATTTTTTTTTTTTTATGTGATTTAAGAGTTTCATTCTGCAAGGATGCATTAAATTGATCAAAAGTGGCAGTGCAGACATTTATGTTGCAAAAGATATCTATTCAAAATAAATTGTGTTTTTGAACTTTCTATACTTCAAAAAAATCCTGATTTTTTTTTTTTATTTATTTTTTTTTTTACATGGTTTATCCAAACATTTTAAGCAGTGCAACTGTTGTCAAAATTGATAATAATAAAGACCGGAGTAAGATGCTGAAAATTCAGCTTTACATCACAGGAATAAATTTCATTGTAAAATAATTTTTTATAATATTTCACAATATTTCTGTTTTTACTGTATTTTTGATTAAATAAATCCAGTCTTGCAAATTTAAGACTGCATTTTTGCTAATTAAAAAATTAATGCAAATTTATCTGAACATAAGAAACCCCTTATAAAAACATTTAAACCCCAAATTTTTCAACAGTATTATATACTAAAATAGATACTAAAACCAGGCTGAAAGAGCATCTAAAACCAGTCTCAATTACAGTTCTCTGGTTTTATATATATATATATTAAAATATTCAGTCATGATGTAAATTAATGGGCTGGACTGGAATGCTAATTTGCCATATTGGTTCAATTGGGGATTTTTTTTTAGAATAGCAGTTTTCAATTTATGAGTAAACGTACTTTCTAAGCATAAGTTGTATTGTATACATAAATTACAACTTCCGCAAGTATCTGAGTTTACTTGATGGACAAATCAGCAAAACTGTTGTAGTATTTATGTGACAACTTCTTAGCAACATTGGGGCAAAAACTGTTTGACATTTACTTTTAAAGTGGAAGAAGTAATATTTGCCACGGACCTTAATGTACTCTTCAATTATTGTAATTGAAAAATTACATGCTCAAAGAAATTTATGATTTAAAAATGCTAATTATTCCTGGGTTTTAGGATAGAATATAAATAGAAAAATAATCAATCCTACAGTTGAAATTACACAAACTGCTCTATGTTGCATATAGACTTGTGCACACTGTACTCTAGCTGTCAAGAAATTGTATTTGTCTATCCCTCATGAATACATTTGCTCTCGTGGGCAACATCAAAGTAAAACATAAAGTGCATTAAAGGCCTACGTTTTCTCCTTATGCGTGTTCCCTGGTAATCAAACTGCCATTACTGGCACACGCACACACACGTACATACAACCCCCCCACACACACTCACACACACATCAGCAATATGAACAAAAAATTGAAACTAATGTTGTTGTTGTTTTTTCCACTTTCTCTGCAGGAATCCTCATATTCATTTGCACTGAAATGCCTTATTAGCCTCTCCACTGTAATTCTGCTCTGTCTGATCATTATGTACCACGCACGAGAGATTCAGGTAAGTAGCCGACTCAACCTTGGAAGCCTTAAACTAGAGTAGAGAGTGAGACAGGAGCCTAAAAGATTGCAGAGGAAACACTTATGCCAATTCCTAATGACTTATAGTAGAAGCAGAATGAAAACTTGCCCTGGCTTTTGTAATTCCTGAAATCTGCATTCAGTGTCTGTCCCATTTTACCTATCCATTAGAAGGTCTTTATAGAGAAGACACTGATTTTGATTAATGATGGTATTACAAGTGGGGCTTATGGCTAATAGGAGATGTAATTCAATACTGGCCTGTCAATCAGTTGGTTTGTGGGCATTATTTAATGACTTGGAACATCAGATGGTGGTCAAATTGCAGAATGGATGAACAATTGAAAAGCTTTATTCCTGATTGAAACAAAAGAGAAGAAAAATCCATATCGTAGTCATAATACTAAACCCCCAAAGAATGTTTTTATATCATTTGTGTGTTATTATAGTAGACTACAATAGATTATTGTACATTTATATGATATAATTTTAATCTATTAAAGGGACAATGTGTAGGAATTTCTCCCATCTAGTGGAGAAAATGTATTTTGCATTCAAACGAAATGTGCTCTCCAGCGCCTCGCTTTTTCAAATGCGCGTTGCATCTACAGTAGCCATTATAATTAAATATTGATTTTAAATTATAAAGTACACATTGTCCCTTTAAATAATATCTAAACATTTGTTAATTACTGAACACACACACGCACACACAATACTCTCAGGTCTTGTTTTAATGGAAAATAAGGCAAAAATGTAATATTTTTTGCAGTGAAGATCATAGTCCTGTTCAGGGAATCCTTAAAAACATGTCCCTCTCTAACATCTAGCTCTTCATGGTGGACAATGGAGCAGATGACTGGCGGATAGCCATGACATACGAGCGCATCTTCTTCATCGTTTTGGAGCTGCTGGTGTGTGCCATCCACCCTATTCCAGGTCAGTACGTCTTCACATGGACCGCCCGCCTGGCCTACACCTACCTACCGTCTGTGGCGGATGCAGACGTGGACATCATCCTCTCCATCCCCATGTTCCTGCGGCTGTATCTGATTGGCCGAGTCATGCTCCTGCACAGTAAGCTCTTTACGGACGCCTCGTCACGCAGTATCGGAGCCCTCAATAAGATCAACTTTAACACACGCTTTGTCATGAAGACTTTGATGACTATCTGCCCAGGCACAGTCCTGCTGGTTTTCAGCATATCATCATGGATCATTGCTGCCTGGACAGTGCATGTCTGTGAGAGGTGAGATAAACCTTTGATTTCTTAAGAAACACTGTTTGTACCTGGAGTATCAAAGGGATGTTCCTTCACGCAGCCCTCACGTTGTTCCAAAGCTGTGTCATTTTCGTTTCTAAATGAAACACAAATTAAGAAAAAAATTAAATAAAAAAATCCTGGCTGCTCTTTTTTCTCATTTCCATGTAATGTAAGTGAATGGGGACTGGGGCTGTCAAACATCAAGATGACAAAACAAGTGCCATGAAAGTTGTCGATTTGACTCATGCACTATGTTCCATGTATTTCGGAGTCATCAAATAATTTGTGCGATGAACAGATCGAAATTATAACCTGGAGCCAATGATGCTGATATATTGTTTATTGTTGTCCGTACGGCTTTTGTTGTCCATTTCAGAGTGTAGTAGAAGTAGGGGAACAACGTCTTAAATGTCTGCCTTTTCTTCATTTAAAGCTGTCAAATGGCTTCACAAGTATTGAAATATGGCACATACTGTAAGTCATATTGAATTCTTGTATGGTATTTTATCTTGGTTTGTCATTTTAAAGGGTTAGTACACTCACACACACACACACAAAAAAAATATCTGTCATAGTTTTCAAAAAGTTCATAAAGAGATAAAACTAATCCATATGAATAGAGTGTATTGAAGGGTGCGTAAGAGTCTTCTACACTATTAGTCCAAATTCTTAAAGGAGTAGTTCACTTTTAAAAAAAACTTTTGCTTATAATTTACTCACCCCCATGTCATCCAAGATGTCCATGTCTTTCTTTCTTCAGTCGAAAAGAAATGAAGGTTTTTGATGGAAACATTCCAGGATTTTTTCCATATAATGGACTTCATTGGGAACCAAACGGTTCTAGGTCCAAATGAGAGTTTCAGTGCCGCTTCAAAGGGCCTTTAACGACACCAGACGATGAATAAGGGTCTCACCTTGCAAAACGATCTGTCGTTTCAAAAATAAGTAAAAAAGATTACGTTTTATAAGCACAAATGCTCGCCTTGCTCTATTCTGTGATGAGCGTCCGTGACTTTACTGTTCAAACTCGTTCATCAAAATGAACAAATCTTTTTTCGAGTCATGACTCGAAGGGTACTAGATAAGACCCTTATTCATCGTCTGGTGTCATTTAAAGCCCTTCGAACCTGCACTGAAACTCTCATTTGGACCTTGAACTGTTTGGTTCCCAATGAAGTCCATTATATGGAGAAAATCCTGGAATGTTTTCGTCAAAAAGCTTAATTTCTTTTCAACTGAAGAAAGAAAGACGTGGACATCTTGGATGACATGGGGGTGAGTAAATTATCAGCAAAAGTTTTTTGAAAAGGGAACTACTCCTTTAAGAGACTTGATCGCTTTATAAGATGAACAGATTGAATATAAGCATTTATTCACATCAAAACAGTGATCTTAAAAACAAAGCTCAAACGTGCTGCATAACACACGAGATGAGAATGAACCTCGTCAAGCAAACCATAACTGATGTGTGGGTTGATGAATATTTTATGAATAAAAGCCTCAATTAAATCTGTTCGTCATATTAAGTAATCGTGTCTCAATTTGGACTAAATCACTCAATTCATATGGATAAGTTTTACGATCTCTTTATGAACTTTTTCGAGTGTCAATGGAGTGACAGAAAGCTCTGACTTCATCAAAAAGATCTTCATTTGTTTTAAAGATGAACGAAAGTCTTATGGCGTGAGGGTGAGTAAATGGTGGGGGAATTTGTATTTTGGGGTAAACTATCCCTTTAAAGAATACCATTTTTAAGTCCCCATTCACTTCTTATTATATAGTAAAGAGTGGCCAGGATATGCTTCCACAAAAGAAAGTCAGTTATGGCTTTGAAATAACATGAAGGCGAGTAAATCGTTTTTATTTTTGAGTGAATGATTTCTTAAACTATTTATGTATTTTTTCCCCCCCATCAAATGCAGTTGGTCAAGACCCTATGTTGTTGCCTTTATACAATGTGATGTCAGTGGCAAACGAATGTGTGCGTGTTTCATTGTTCACGCGTGTTTTGTTCTATGTTTCTCCCACATGGCTGCTGCTGGATAGGGGTCCAAAGTGAGTCTGTGATCTGCAAGGAAAAACTATTACTTGGCTCTTAGCCTCAGCTCATCTCTCTTGATGAGCTGTACTGGCAAAACGGCAATTTGCTGGCATCCTGGAAATCCCAAATTCTTTTCTTTTCCAAATTCAGATTCATTCGTTTTTTCCTATAAATGGTCGGGCATCTTATAGCCTTTGTTGTAGAGGGGTCTTAATGTTAGGTAATTGCATTTTTGAGTCATTCTTTGGATTTTGGGATTTTCACGCAGCTGACACCATGTGTCAACATGGTGGTCATCATGTTCATGGCAGCCTGTTCTTTTCCTAAAGCACTGTCAGATATTTGACCTTTTTCTGGTGCTCTAAAGTGCTGTTCTTATCAAGACACCATCTTGACCTAGACCGTGGGGAAGAGTAAAGATCCAGTATGTTATCATGACCCATAAACATAGAGAGAGCAGCAGAGCTATGCTAATCAGGTCATCCTAAGCCCTTTAGCCAGGTTCTGCACCCACTTCTTATCCATTAGACTATATGTGCTTCATCATCTGATATTTCTTCACTGCAATGCACCACAACAATAGTTCATTGTGTATATATGGGTTTTCTTCAACTATGGGCACTTTTCACTTCTAGAATATACACTATTCGCTAACAATGTCTGACAGCTCACGTAAATGCATCACAGCCAGGAGAATTTTTTTTCACCATATCCACAAAGTCTTATCATTTAATAGCATTCTGTGGATAAGTTTTGTGCATCCTAAGTACAATTACATTTTCCAAAAAAACAAACAAAACAAAAATCACACATAATTACAATATGGTTGAGTTGTCAATTAAAAGTATGAATTTATATTTTATGATTGAAAATAATTATTTAAATGATCCAACTAATTCATTAATTTAGTTTTTTTTTTTTACCTAAATAACCTTTTTTAACACTTTCACTTCTCACACTTTTGTTTCCCACTAATATTACAGCATGGTTGTGTTGTTCGTTTCTTTGTTTTACATAGTAATTTAGTACACTGAGGTAAAACTTTATCAGTTGGTAATGATGCAACTGAGGACTGGTCTGTTGTTGTTGTTGTTGTTGTTTTTTTTACATAAAATAAATTAAATAAAAATATAAGTGTAAAAAAATTTAAGAATATTGTTTTATTTGATTATTATATATTTTAAAACACTATATGAATGATGGCTGTGCATATTTTGTCTAAAAAACTTGATCTGGAACACGGTAAAAAATACAAAATAAAAGTCTCACCATTTGCAACAATAAAATCGCCCATAGTTGTGAAACACTCATATCTCCAATGAAGTAGATTCTTTCCCCTACCTCATGGACTGTTTTCTTGTTTTGAGAATAAATCTGAAAAAAATCTGTGGTGTTTATACTTCAAAACATCATGATACAGCTCTCTCATTATACAGTTTTGCTTCTCAGAGATACATTTATTTTGTTTTAAGCATGCCTACATATCGTTACTGGAAAGCAAGACAAAAATACAGATTTAGACAATGTTTTTTTTTCCACTGAGGTTGAGAAAAAGTGCTGAGGACACTGCCTAAGCTAATGTGCTAGTCAGGTGTCATGCTAGCTTGTTATTTTTCAGTATTGTCATGTCCTGTGTAAGAGTTACAGTGGATGAATCTGTTCGGAGTAATGGAGAGGTGCTTTATCAGCACCTTTGGAACCCTCTGAGACTGTATTTCGCTTCGCTTCGCCTCTAAATGGCCTCAGTTACCTCCTCCCTTTTAAATCATTTGTCGGCAGGCTAGTCGACAGGCCTCATTTAATAGCACTCAAGCTAATGAGTCCTCAGTTAAATTCATGGACATAGAAGCTGGAAACTGACTGATTGATTAATTTGAACATAAATGTAGAGAGTTACCCCATAGTCAGCACATGGACTGTTCATGCTGTTGGAAGATGGATTTGAGGCCAAGGAAGTCCTCGTTTTGAAACGTTGACGTCATCATCGTCCTCATCACTTTTTAATTATTTTTTCCTTTATGTTTGTTTAAGGGTGTTTGGGGCGAGTGTTTCTTGAAATGAGTAGACTGTTTTGTTATGAATGTTTTTTATCTGAAAGAATCAACATAGGTGGCATTCTGTTCCCTTAACAGAAATTTACCATGGTAACAAACGACAGTAGGCCTATCACCAAAATACCATAGTTACTATAATTTTTGTGCTTTTGAAACGTTGCTGTTTACTTTTGAATTGTGGTTACCTTGGTAAAAATCTGTAAGGGTTGAATCTATGTTTAAGATTCTTTGTATGTGTACAAATGAAGCTCTCGGAACAAGTGTTCTCTGATTTGAGATAATGCTAAAGTGCCTTTGTTGAAATCAACTGCCTGAATGCTCTTATGTGCTCCATACTGTCAGAGCATTGCATTATCTGAGTTCATGGCAGCTTTGGATTTGGTTACACTGCCAGCATGTTTGTCCATATACCCTCTTTATGCTTGTGTAATGGACTGTGACTTCCACAATAGTTTTACACAGAATCATTCTCCACACAAGACCGAGCTAGAACACTGGGGGAAGAAGAGCAAGCCATCTAATGGGCCCTGGCTGCCCTCTCGTTCCTACGGGCAGAATATGGACACCACAGCTTTGAAAATATGCACACAAAGGCACCTTGATTTATATTTGAGCTGTCCGCCTTTTATCCAGTGCGGTCAGGCCTGAATATTGATATATGCTGCTACATTCAATACTTATTGATATTCCACTTTAGGTCATTTTTAAGATTACCCTTCAAATGTGATTGGGCTAATGTGAAGTGTACCTGGCCGCTGATTCGGACGGGTCATTCTTTATGCTTGAGCCATGGCACAGTGTCCATGTGCAGTGCTGTTCAAATTTCAGATGAATATTTGTAAATCGCTTTCGTAAATATATCATTTATTATTGGACAAATCTATGAAAATATGATTGCAGCAGCACATCGTATCAAGTAAAACTGTCCGAAAACCTGGAAATGAGCTACGATAATGATTATTTATCTTTGGTTTATTCATTTATTTAGATGTTTTTACATTTTTTATTTTTATTTTACATCATTTTTGTTGCGTTTAGCTGTTAAATTTTATTTTGTTTGTCAGCATAAATTATATTTAATCATTTGTATTAATTTAAATGCATTTAAGAAGTCTACATTTTTAATTCGCTTTTTTATTTTATAAACTCGGAGCGGGGTCACCTTTAACTTTTTCTCTTTTGAGATTGATTCTATGTGGTATTAATTAGTCACTCTTTTGAATTAATCCCAGCTTTTTTTTCTTGTTCTTTTATCTCATCAGATACCATGATAAGCTGGAAGTCACCAGTAACTTCTTGGGAGCCATGTGGTTAATCTCCATAACCTTCCTGTCTATTGGTTATGGTGACATGGTCCCTAACACATACTGTGGGAAGGGAGTGTGTCTCCTTACTGGAATCATGGTGCGTCTCTCTTTTACCCTACTAATTATGTACAAGTCTTACATTAAATTCTATTTTTTAAACATTTAAGTCCTTGTGAGTTTATCTGCATATATTTTACAGTTATTAGTGTCCACTCAGCCATAACTTCATAAAGCCATTTTGTGGAGGAACGGTTTTATAAAAAAGACTTGCATTAAATTCTGTTTTTAAGACATTTACATCCTTGTGGGTTTATCTGCATATTTTTTTTTTTTTTTTTTTGCAGTAATTATCCACTCAGCCATAACGTAGTCAAGCTGTGAAGCCATTTTATAGAGGAACTATATAAAAAGCTTTCTGAATTATCTCTCTATGGCCCTATTTACACCTGGTATTAAGATGTGTTTTGGTCGATCGGATCACAAGTGGACGGCGCTAAATCCTGGTGTAAACGGGGTCTAAAACATTTTGAGCTTATCCACTTTCGGTTGTTGAAAATGCATTCGACCAGATTGCTTTCTTTGGGTAGATGCTCATGTATTCGAATGCTTTCGAATGGACAAAAAAGGCCGGCTACTGTCCGCCTACTGACCTAATGCATAAACATAGGACAAAAAAAGATGAAAAACATACCAAGCACCATTTCTGATTTCTAACATGCACTGGTCTTGCGTCTGTCAGAGCAGAAACAAAAGCTGCTGCTCTGTTTCATCATCTCCATGTAAATTGCATAAGCTTACTTTGTACATTAAATCGAAAGATCTGAAAAAACCCATACATTCACCCTCCCCTCGAAGAAAGTGGTTGAAAGTGGACAAAAAAAAGACAGATTAAAACACCAGGTGTAAACGAGGATTTCTCCCTCGCCTACTTGTGATCCGATCGACCAAAACACGTTTTGTGTTGACAGGGCCTAAGATTATTGTTGTGGTCTGTGTGTTTTTTTGTTTTTTGTTTTCTCAGGGGGCCGGCTGCACTGCCCTAGTGGTGGCTGTCGTAGCCCGGAAGCTAGAGCTCACCAAGGCTGAAAAGCATGTCCATAACTTTATGATGGACACTCAACTCTGCAAAAGAGTGAGCATGTTTTAATATACAGATTTAACTGACATAACACTATAGCTAAGTGAAAAACAAGCAAGTATAAAATGGAGCAGTCAAACTCACTGCAAAAAGCACTTAATGCCAAATGTTGACGGTGCATAAGCTGTGGAAACTAGCCAACATTCACTTGATGATATAATTTTCTAGACAAAATCTGGCAAGCATATCTCACCCATATCTCTAATTCATCAGAACATGCAGTGTCTACAACTAGCACTTAACACTGTATTTCAGGAGTAATCACTTTCAAATTGTAATTTTGCTATAAGTTCCCTAACATGTACCTGTACCTCTTTCTCTCTAGCTGTACTGATGTTTTCAAAATGAATATTAAATATAATCTTCTTATCTGAACTTATTTGCTGACAGGTGAAAAACACGGCTGCTAATGTACTCAGGGAAACATGGCTAATCTACAAACACACAAAGCTTGTGAAGAAGGTTGACCATGCCAAGGTCCGAAAACATCAGCGCAAGTTTCTACAGGCCATTCACCAGTACGTATATTCGCAACATTTAATCTTTGTATTTCTAAGTTCACTTTTTTTTCTTATATGAGATGAAAGATTAATCTTAAATGTATGGTTATATAAACCTGGATTTAGTTCAAGTTTACTCTTTTCCAATTTAGGGAATCTATTCGCATACAAAAATGTATATGGAGTTTTGGAAACTGAATTGAACTCTTTAGACTGAATATACTGAATTTCCAGCATTACAGCATTTTTTTTGTAGGGACGTGCCTGAAGCTGAATATCATGTTCAGAAAGGAAATGATGTGTACTACAGAGCCCCTTAAGGGACATGGTGATTGAAAAATAAATATGAGATTGAAAGCGATTTTGCGTTCTCAATAATAATGTTGTATATAATTTTGGGGTATCAGGAAGCCGCTATCAATATGCAGGGTTTTAAAAAAAAATGACTTTTGAATGCTCGCTTTTTACTTTCAGTTTCCAAATTTCTAATCTGTGTATAGGGAGCGCTGGTACTGACCGCATATTTTACACAATAAGATTTGTCAATGATCTGTTCACCCTGCCAGTCATCTCTGTGATGTACTGTAGCATAACCGACTACCACAGTAAGCCAAACCATGTTCCTTTAGGGTCTCCGTAGAATGCGTTATTCGTTTCCGTGTCTTCGGGCACATCCCTAATTTTTTGTGAGTTTTACCTGTCAGATCATGGGCTGAAATCTTGAGAATGGCTTAGACTAGGATTTCCACAGTACTTCAGTACCAAGGTGATGTTGAAAATAAAAGAAGTGAGGATTATGGTTAGTTTATTGAACAAGCCACATTATTGTGTGCATAAAATGACCAAATGCACCTTTGTCTTGGCGAGATGTTAATGTCAAAACAGTCGGGTTGTATTAAAGGGATAGTTCACTTTGAAATTAATTATTGCTGTGTTTTAGCTTACCTCAAGGGCATCCAAAATGTTGGTGTCTTTGATTCCTCAGTAGTTTCAATTTTTGTCTATCAGTCATATAATGGAGGTCTATGGTCACCACCTCAAAAAGCATATACAGAGAAGTCCAAATTAAACATAATTTAATGACTCGTAAATGTAAGTACACATTGATGGCCCAAGACACAAAACGAGCGCTTTGTGTGAGAAAACGAACGGTATTTATATCCTTTTTACCTCTTGTAACCACAGCCACGTCCAAGTGATCTGAGGGCGCTGGCGCTGCGGTTACAAGAGGTAAAAACTATATAAATACTGTTCGTTCTTTACTCTTTGAGGTGGTGACCATAGACCTCCATTATATGACTGACAGACAAGAACGGTTTGACCTAAAAATATCAAAATTGAAAATACTGCGGAAACAACGACACCTACATCTTGGATGCCCTTGAGGTAAGCTAAAACATACCAACCAATTAATTTCAAAGTGAACTATCCCGTTAAGTGAATGTAAACATGCAATAATAATACAATAATACTGGCAAGACAAAACCAATGCCATTGATTTAATTTGTTTATATTTATCCTTAACTTCTTATATAAAATAGTGTTAAACAGAAGAATAGTTTTTAGTGTGAAACTGGTATAGAGCATAATGAAATGTCACTGGTGTTGTAGACAGTAACCTGGATACATGACTCGCTCTCAGCTCACCCAGAATATGTGCTGGACAGAATAGTGTTTACCTTCAGCTCATGCTAACGCAATAAAGCATTTTTCACTATTTTTGGAAATACCGTGAAAAATTGAAGGGAGGCAAAAAATGTTGCTAAATGGTCTGGCGATGCAAATCAAATGACTTTTTTTTTTTTTACTTTTGGTGTGGTGTGCAACTTGAGGTTTTTAAAAAATGTATTCTGTGTTCCATTTGTTTTGCCTTAAATCACTGCAGAGCTCAGAAGTAAGTCATGTCTTCTCTCTTTCCTTACCATTGGAACCTCTTTTCATTTTTACAAGTCTTATTCAGCAATATCAACCAACATGATGAACATTTAAACATTCAAAAACATTTGAAGCTGGGCATCAGTTTTGTTTAGACTTGATATCCATTAAGGATATTTAGACAAATGAGACTTGAATGGTTTACCAACCTGTTAAGGTACTTGAAAGGAAAGGTTCTTCGCATCTTCTCAGCTTCAAATTTATCAGATGCCACACAATGTCCGAAATTCATTCATCTAGCCTGTACCAGATTTCCAAAGAACACTGCACTTTGATCCCTTTAGTCATACCACCATGTACAATCTGCTAGTCTGGTGGTCTGCAGTGTTTTCTTGCAAACACAAATCTATTGCAAATAATTGTTATCGAGATGAGTCTAGGGAAAAAAACAAAAGTGAATGTTGAGAGACTGCATGAGACTTTTAGACACAAGTCAGGATTTGGTACTCGTTTCCTTTCACTTGGTCAATTCACTTTTAAAAGGGACCGTTCACCTCAAAAAAATCTCAATTCTGTCATTATTTACTCCCCCTCATGTTGTTCCAAACGTGTATGTCATTCTGATTATGAATGACTCTGAATAAGGTGAATTAAATTGAATGATCTGGTCCTCATGCATCGTATTCACAGAAAAAAGAGTGAGCGGTGCATTATGCAAAATTTGTCAAAGAAAGTCATACAGGTTTGGAACAACATATGGTTGATTAAATGATGAACAGAAATTAATTTTAAAAATTTTATTCTAATCCTGTAAGTGCAGTAACATTTTCTGGCCGTGTTATAGGTTCTCTGATGTGAATCGCCAGTCCTGCTTTTGTTTGGCACGCAGTCAGAGTGAAAGCGCGACTGCTGAGCACAACAATTCATTTATAATGTATTTGGCCTTTATTTTTACGAGACCACATAAACATTCCCTTTGCCTAATGCATGCAATCATAAAATTCTATAAATATCTGCACACGAAATGCTTCGTAAAGTCAAATCGGCCTGTGTTTCTCGAACTGCGGAGATGGTAACGATTTCATCTGGAGTGCAGGGAACTATGGAGGTCTGGGTACAGAAAAAACAGACCAATTTTGGCCCTCCCAAAATTGAGAGTTCATCTTTAAAACAGTACAAGCACATGTGGAAAAGTACAAAGTGTCCACCTTTTATTTTCCATAAAGCTTGCACACTTGAGTTTTTCACACTTGTTTTTTATTTTTCGTTGGGAGGTAGGGTTTGAATTAAAGGGGTGATTGGGATTGATTTAGGTTGCTTTAACTCTGTAGAAGACATTTATGGTATTTTTGAAGAAGCCATCATGTTATGTTTATATTCTGCATGCGAGTATCATTGACAAGCATTTTCCTCTAGACATTTTCTTAAGATCTGACAAAGTTCCTCATTCTACTCTTACAAAACTCTCCCTGTCCCTTCCGGGTTTTGTCCATGCTTTCCCAGAGGAAAGCCCGGCTCGAGAGTTTTTGGTGTCAGCTTTCTGAATTCATTGGCACTGAAATTAGGTTAATGCTAATTCATCACCACTAGCACATCTGTCATTACCATGGACCACAGACCATGTGTCCAGCACATTCAGTTCATCTTTTTGCACATGTTACACTGACTCCATTTTGACATGATATAATGAATGTTTTCAACCACATCTCATTGAGTTTTATTATCTGCAGTGTCAGTGCTGACTTACACTGGTGGTGTTCGAGGTGTGTTTTCACACATTTTACACCGTCGAGCTGTTTTGTCTTGACGTCAAGTTAAAGGCCTGCCTACCAGCTGCAAAAAAACGATAATGTGTTACATAGCAATTACATAGTTTATGATTTACAATCACAAGTCTGGTTAATATTACCCTACTTGAATTTCAGGTTTAACAATATAAATTACACACAGCCATAACTCAAATGTGAATTATGCCCACAAGTATGTGAGTTACTTGTGATTTTTATATATATATATATATATATATATATATATATATATATTAGGGCTGGGCAAAAATTAATTGCGATTAATCGCGTTCAAAAAAAAAGTCTGTGTTTACATAATATATTTGTGTGTGCTGTATATAATTATTTTTGATATATAAATACACACACATGCATGTATATATTTAAGAAAATGTGTTATTCATATATAAAATATTTATATTTATATAATATAGATTATGTATTTATATATATATATATATATATATAATTTAAGCACAAATAATTCTTAAATATATACATGCATGCATAGGTATTTATATATACAAAATAATTATATACAGCACACACAAATATATTATGTAAACACAGACTTTTATTTTGTTAATAATTAATTTTTGCACAGCCCTAATATATATATACTGTATATATTTATATCATTTATTGTTAAGGGCTTGATTCAGGACTACAGCAATTGTTTTGTCAAAAATGTAAACATATATACATACTCTTTTAAAAGAACAGTTGACTTTAAAGCAACTTCATGGTTTTAAAACATTAAAATGTATTTCATGCCTTCATAATTGTCTAACTGCATTTCATTACTGTCCATTCCACTTTGCTGAAAGTTTCTATCTGCATCAGATCACCATCTAAAACGTTCTGCAGCCCAGTTTCTTGACTTTGAGGTAGTACAACAGAATCCATATCCATATGCTTATGGAGTTTTGGACGATGCCTCAACTGTTCTTTTCGATCCTTTCTTTTTCATTTTACCTCCAGTGGCTGAATAAGTTTGCATGTCTGACTGGACAAAACTGGAATGTAAATGTTTGCATGTGGGCATATCATGTAACGGGGGAAACATTCATAATGCGACTCTTTAAATTTAGATCTAGATTTCAGCCTAATTATCAAACTCTGTTTCTTCCTCTCTTCCCTGCTCTTTTCATTGACACCCCATCATAACCTCCTGCACTTTCGTTTTGCACTCCTTCCTCTATAAACTCCTGTCTCTCTTGTATATCTGTGTGTCTTCCTTCCTTGCGGCCCATCTTGTTTTCTCTGTCTGTCCACCTGCTCCCTGGCTTCTTTTTTCCCAGACTGCGAAGTGTGAAGATGGAGCAAAGGAAGCTGAATGACCAAGCAAACACGCTGGTGGACTTAGCAAAGGTGTGTACTGTATTGCTTGTTCACATTAGTAGATTAATAGTAATTGCATAATTGTTTGGCATGGTCTTGTTCTGTAGTGATTGTGTGGCTGTTTGTATCAGACTATTAGATTTTGTATGTTTTAGTAGATTATAGTTTCATCGAGACAGGCTATATTATCTACTCTACCATGCAAAAGTTTGTAGTCAGTAAGAAAAGAAATAAACTTTTATTCAGCAAGGATTCATTAAAGGGTTTTTATAAACAACACCTGCTCAATTTCTCATTAATGCAATTGTCTAATCAACCAATCACATGGCAGTTGCTTGAATGCATTTAAGGGATGTGGTCCTGGTCAAAACAATCTCCTGAACTCCAAACTGAATGTCAGAATGGGAAAGAAAGGTGATTTAAGCAATTTTGAGCGTGGCATGGTTGTTGGTGCCAGACGGGCCGGTCCGAGTATTTCCCAAGCTGCTCAATTACTGGGATTTTCACGCACAACCATTTCTAGGGTTTACAAAGAATGGTGTGAAAAGGGAAAAACATCCAGTATGCGGCAGTCCTGTGGGCAAAAATGTCTTGTTGATGCTAGAGAATGGGCCGAGTGATTCAAGCTGACAGAAGAGCAACTTTGGCCCCATTTACACTGCATGGTTTAAGTGACCCAAATCTGATTTTTTCCTATCATGTGGCACAGATCGGATATGACCGTTGAACGTGTCAGCAAGAAAAAATCGCATGGATGGATTCCAATTTTCTCAGATTGGATTCAGGCCTCACTCATATGTGGTAATAAACGCCTCTTTTTCGCCTCTTTTTCTCCGCCATCTGAGACCCAGTGTTTTGATGACTTTACAATTTGTAAGAGCTGATGGGGTCTGATAAGTCTCGATTTCTGTTGAGACATTCAGATGGTAGAGTCAGAATTTGGTGTAAACAGAATGAGAACATGGATCCATCATGCCTTGTTACCACTGTGCAGGCTAGTAGTGGTGGTGTAATGGTGTGGGGGATGTTTTCCTGGCACACTTTAGGCACCTTAGTGCCAATTGGGCATCGTTTAAATGGCACGGCCTACCTGAGCATTGTTTCAGACCATGTCCATCCCCTTATGGTCACCATGTACCCATCCTCTGATGGCTACTTCCAGCAGGATAATGCACCATGTCACAAAGCTCGAATCATTTCAAATTGGTTCCTTGAAGATGACAATGAGTTCACTGTCCTAAAATGGCCCCCAGAGTCTCCAGATCTCAACCCAATAGAACATCTTTGGGATGTGGTGGAACGGGAGCTTCGTGCCCTGGATGTGCATCCCACAAATCTCCATTAACTGCAAGATGCTATCCGATTAATATGGGCCAACATTTCTAAAGAATGCTTTCAGCACCTTGTTGAATCAATGCCATGTAGAATTGAAGGCATTTCTTAAGGCGAAAGGGGGTCAAACAGAGCATTAGTATGGTGTTCATAATAATCCTTTAGGTGAGTGTATTTATAAAATATTTTAATGTTATGTTTTAAACATTTCGTTTTTTAAAACCTTATTTTTTTTTTTTGTCCGAAAATTTGCTTATACTATGTGCAGGTTTTTTTCCATGCCAGTGTGACACCATTTGTATAGGTGAGTCTTGTTTTATGTGTATTTATTGTGATTATCCCTTCCTCAGACACAGAATGTGATGTACGACCTGGTATCAGAGCTGCAGGAGCGCAGCGAGGAGCTGGAAAAGCGGATCGGTAACCTAGAGGCAAAACTGGACTCCATAAACAGCAGTCTGCAGGCTCTGCCTGGCCTGCTCTCACAAGCCATACAGCAGCAACAGCAACACCTGCTGGACGGGCTGACCCAGCACGGATTCACCTTCACCAGACCCTCCTCGCAGACCTCCGAACGCTCCTGGGCGTCATCCGTGCACCGACGAAGATCACCTTCTACCGCACCACACACGTCCTCGGATAGCGGCTAGCACGCTCCCACACACTCGAAACCATACTCTAAACCTACACACACTCCTACACACCTCTGTCATCAACTAACACTGCTAAATATACTTTTAGTACTAAAACGTTAACAAGAATGACAACTTCAACACACTGGAATAAAATGTAACGAATAACACATCATGGTAGAGATATGGTTTATGTTTAGCCATTGTATGGCTGTTTAAAGTTAGCTTTTTTGTAAAGCCCTTGTATAGTATGGACTGGATTCAGACTGCAGGGGGTCGAATGGATTTATATATAGAGAGATATAGTTTAGAAACAGAGCATTAAATGGAACTAAACCCTTGAAAATAAAGAGGACTGAGAAGAAAGGAAAAATGTGAGAGAGAGAGGAAGTCACTGGAGAGACTTCCTGTCCATGGCAGTTTTTGAAGATGTAGGCTACGTTCACATTAGCATACTAGCATACTACTTACTGTTGCTGCAGTATATATTTATATACAGTGTACAGTATGCACATTTTCTGTGTGCATTAAATACCCAGAGTGCACTGCATTGATACCGTATTCCAGACTGCAATGCGCTCGACTCGACCTTCTATTTTCAGCGTAAACACGTATTTCTAGAACTACAAAATAAGACATTTTTACTCGAAATTTAAATGAACCCTCTGGTGGTGTTCTGGCACTTTAGACTGAATCGTTTTACGTTTTTAATTATTCATTTTTTGTTGAATTTTTCGACAGAATGGTATGGAACTTGGTAAATATAGTTGCACTTACTATTTTAATACATAAAATGTGGACTGTCAGAAAATGACCCATAGGAAATTTATTGGAAAATATTTTGGGGGGCAATCAGCCACAATGAATATATCCAACGCATTCTCATCCCGAGGCGTCATATATTGATGCTTTTGCCAATGCGTATACTGTACATCCAACGCACATGGCACCCTTTAGCGTCAATAATAACGCACAGAGTATGGGTAGGTTTAGGGTTAGACCACTAGGAGGCGTCTTTTGGCCCATATATATCTGCGTCTCATATTGAAGCTAAAGGGTGCCATGTGCGTTGGATGTATACGCATTGGCAAAAGCTTCAGTATTTGACGCCTTGGGATGAGAACGGGCTGATACGTCATATATAATACACCTATTAACTGATAATAATAAAATAGTCTTTCTAATATTATTTTATATAAAAAATAATTATGAATAATTAAGGTGAATATTCCTTCAAAATATGAAAGATTTATATTATTTAAACAAAACATGGTACATTCATATATTAATAATTATAAAAAAAGCGTGCTTACGGTCTGATTTGTCTTGAGAAGTCGAAGTGAGAAATTCCAGAGGGTTAAAAGTGCTATATGTATTCCAAAATGATAACTGGATGCTACTCCGAATAAGTAGCAAGTTCAATGGAATTTTCAAAAATAATACAGTATATTCTGTGGAGTATTCAGTAAGTACTAAGCTGGTATTCTATTCCGTTGACTAGAACCTCATAGAATTGTTGTTGAGTTGTGGAGCTCATAGGTCGGAGGTGAGGAAGGGCCTTTGGAAGACCAGTGTGAATAATAATTACCTGATAAAATGTAACCAAATATTAGTGAATACTAAAAACAAGCAACAAATTATATTCAAATGCATATTTTGAAGACTAAACACTTCAAACTAGTCTAATTTATTGGATAAATGTTTTCATGACACTCACCGAACACTTTCGTTTGTTGACTTTCAAGTGCTCTCTTTATAGCAATAAACAATACAGTGCTATAGGGATTCAGAGACCTTTTTCCAGACTCTGTTGTGTTTTACAGGAGCCTGCCACATAATAATAGATGTCCGATCAACACTAAACAAGATTCAGGCTGAGCTTCCAAGGGTCCTTCTAGCTCTTTTAGCTCAAGCAATCTTCAAGACAGCCTGGGGATGTGATGTGAAGGGAATACTGTCCACCCAACCCCCTTTGCATGTTTCAATGCAAATGATGATGAAGATAGGATGGTTTTCTCTTCATTTTTCCTTTCTTTTCCGTTCTCATTTTTTTTTAAACAGATTCCTCTTTTTTTTTTATTTACCTAGATTTTTATAGCTCGTAGAGGATATACAAAATGTTTCCGCAGAGTGGTAACTATAGTTGAAAACATGCATTCCTTGACCATGTCCAAAGACTTCAAAAATTCACCTAAACAAAATGTAGAAACAAACAACAGGAGATGAATCCAAGCACTTGGATATCACTACCACTTACATGAATTTACAGATTTGGTTCACAGTTCTAGGTTTAGAACGAAAATGTCAAGATGTGATTGTCATTACGGGTTTGAAAAACAGCAAACTGCCTTTACTGTGTGTCTTTGGCCTTGTTGACCAAGCTGTAGCGGATTTACTTAATGCTGGGCTCCAACATAAAGAAATAAATGAACAAATCCACTACCTAGTTGGTGTGTTTTTATCTACTTTGTCTTCGTTGGACATGTTGTCATTACATTAACCCATTGGTGGTCCATTTTAAGACAACAGTATAAGCAGCAGGAATGTGGGACACAACCTATATATAGCATTTCCTACTACTCCCATTTAACCATAAAGAACTTTTGTGCTGAAGAAAATGGACAGCGTTTTAGCTCACTCTGAACGAGGCACTCGAGTGCTTTTTCTCTCTCGTTCTTCATCCATCCATCTTTTCCTAACTCTGGCTTGGCTCAAAATTCAAACGTTTCATTTAGTCTATATTTGAAGGCAAGGATTGCAACCTTCGTGTAATATTGTGACGTTATTTTTTATCATCTATTTTAGGCTAATGTTTTTTTTTTTTTTTTTATTTAATTTTTCAAATTGCATTTCTGGCTCTGACTTGATTCTGATCACGCCAATTGGCTTGACAGCTTGTATTTCCTAAATTGTTGTAAAAATGTCATCAGAGCACTTAAGTGTAATTACTGGAATGTTATGGCAGTGTTTGTTGTTTTGTACACTGTAGTGGGTTTTTTTGTTTTGTTTGGCTTAGGCTTTAATGTGAAATAGGCCTATAGGCTTATGCCCACACATTTATTAATTTTGCTAGTTGGCGTGTAAGCGACATAGTATGGCAAGCCGTTTTAGCTTAAATTGTATCCAGCCTTACTCGTCGTAATTGTAGTTTTAGTAACAATTCAATTTGAGAGCTCAGTAATTAAAAATGAATGGAAGTCAATGGAGACATACGAGTAGTAAAAATTCATTTTGTTGAGCTCTCTAATTGTAATTGTTACTAGTAAGAATTGAATTAGAGAGCTCCAATTGTATTTGTTAGTAATTGAATAAGAGAGCTCTGTACTTCTACGAATTGAGTTAGAGAGCTCTCTAATTGTAACTGCTACTAGTAAAAACTGATTTAAGAGCTCTCTAATTGAATTGTTACCAGTAAGAATTCAATTAGAGAGCTCTTTAAATCAGTTTTTACTTGCAAGAATTACATTAGAGCTCTTTTTCCACTCAATTTTTCCATTTCAATGAACTTAAAATTTTAAGGCAACCAGGTAACTTATTTTCTTTAAGTTTAACAATATTTTTTTACAGTGTGGGTACAATTTAAGCTAAAACGGCTTGCCATAACATAGCCAGATACATCGGGTCGAACACCTGTGATTATAGCGAAATACAGTGATTTTTCGGTATTGGCTGGCAAAATACATGATCTCTTACATATGCAGTTGTGAAAGTTGATGTATTCAGTCGGTACAAAGGAGTGGGTGCTGTGATCTGGACAAACCTGTCTCATCTCGCCCTCATTAATATTCTTTCTTGTATCATGTCTTGTTTTAGTAATTGACTTCAGCGCTACAAAGCGCTTCAGTGACACACACACAGCATGCATAAACATGTGATCAAAATACAGTTAAATGCAAATGAATAGCTCAGAATGAAGATCACTTTCCCAAATGGTTGTACAATCATCCAGACTGTGCCCTAGTGGCATATCACTATGATAAGCCTACTACAAATGAACTGCAAAATGTTGTAAGGTTGAAAAATAGGTCTTAACAAAAAAAAAAAAAATGCCTGCATTTTTCCTCTTATTCAAATTAACTATTTTTTTTCTCTCTCTCTCTCAACAACATAGGAGAAACTGGGGTAAAATGAGCCACAAGGTAAGATGACCCCTTGTTTCTATAGGTAGCAAACATAATGTGAAAGCATTTTCATAAAGAGGCAATCATTTTTATCTGAGGGGATTTTGTCCAGAAATGTAATTTATTTCCAGTGATGTCTGGAGTTTGGATGATTTGGAGGAAACTTGTAAACATCCCATTACAGTTTAGTTAGACATTGAAACTGATAAATAAGTGATATAGGGGATGCTGTTTGTGGTTCACCCTCCACTTTCTGTAAAAAACGAAACGTGCATGAAACTTTCACAGTCACAAAGCTGTTTTACACTGGAATTCTTCTGAGACAAAGTTGTTTTACCCCAAGTGCTCTGGTTTGGGGAAATGCCATCTGCATTAATATTTGAAAAAAAAGCACTTTCTGTGTTTTCCCCGAGCGTGTCTTTATACTCAACACTCCTCCCAGGTCCAGCTTCACTCAGAGAGTATTTATTAATATTTAAGAACCAAAACAAATAAACCTGGCACATTTTTCATGCAGGTTTGTTTAAAAGGAGACACTCTCAGTACAGCCAAGGGCACAGAAATAATGTGAAGTAACGGATTTAGCAATTATTTATAGGCTACATGCTGTAGGCCTATACATTTATTTTTTTAATTTTTATTTTTTAGAATAGTGGAGTGGTCATAAGTTTGTTTTTTGTTCATACAGGGTAAAACAAGCCATTTTTGGTCATGTTGCTGTCATGCTCGTTCTACTTTCTCGATGAGTCACAATAAAAAAGACTATCGAGATCCCTTAATCTCATTTATAATCATTTTAACAGTTACATAGCCTATGAGAACATAATCTAGTTCATGAATATTACTATATGATTGCTCACTTTTTATTTTACAGATATGAAAGTATTAAGTGCAGGTTAAAGAGAACTGATGGCATTCTGACATTTAACTAAATAACTATGAAAAATAAGGCCTAAACTTGGGGTCACTTATTCTTTTGTCCACAGATGGCATGCCATGGTGAATAATTTAATGCAATCCAAACCTATCTATTTGTTTTAAAATTATATCTCAAGTCTGGCCAAGTAAAACGATTGCTTTGTGTCAAATGTAGGTTTACTAGGCTTAAATTCTTTAACATTGTTTGCAGTTGTTACTTTATTTACAATTTTGACATGTATCCTAGTGTTTTATTCCTATTTGTTACATTTTATTAGCCTATACTAGTTATTCATTGTAATGAATAATGTAAATAATCTCAACCAATAAGATACTATAATATGTAGCACTTTATTTCATAGGTTGTTTGCACAAGTATTTAGAATACTGTACGTGCGCCATGTTGACTTCTTCTCACCTCGCTTTATTCTCATGCCATCCTTCGATTGGGCGCAAGAGGGCGCTATTAAAGTGCTCTATTTTTTTTCTTTGTGATGTTTTGCACTTAATTGCTTTCGCTCAACAAATGTTATCACTTCTTGAAAGGTGAACAAACAACTTAAACAAAAATAAAGAAACGAATGGAATATTTGTTTAAAAAATAATCGTTTTCGCGTTAGTTTACACTTCACGTAGCCTACGTGGGGGGAAAAATAGGCTACAACACCTGCTCGAACAGAGAAATCTCTGAAATAGAAAAATAATAACTTTGTTCACTTAATTGTGGTAATATAAAACTTAGAAAATTTCGATCCAAATTAAAATTAAAAAATGTTGTTGTTGTTATCGTCGTTGTTGTTGTGTTAATCCATAAGGAGGAAATGTTGAAATACTTCTTGACAGGAATGGTCCGCCCTCGCGGTTTTTGTCCAATGGGATTAAAACCTGGTCTGACTAACTGTCACGTCCCTAGATTATATCGAGTAAACTTCTTGTTCTCAAGGAAGTTTATTTTCACAGTCGTTCATGCATTTCCACCCAGATCTTTTTCAGGGCGCTCAGGACTGGTGGTGAGTCCAAACAATCAGACCTCTGATACAGAGAGACCAATAAAGATGTGCTTTACTGCATGCAGGCGCAGGTGGACCAGAGAGATTTAACTGAGAGAGCCGAACTCTCGACCAACACCTTTACTTTCACCTGCTGAACTTTTTTTTTTTTTTTTTTTTTTTTAAATATATTATAGACGTCGACGTCCTCAACAGCAGCTAAAAACTGATTTTGAAGAATAATCTGGGATAATAAATAATATCTTCATCAGAAGACAGATTCAAAAAGGTAAACAATGTTTTTCTTTGTTGATTTTAGAATAGCATATCTTCATACATCTTTATGGTTTAGATTTTAAAATATAATATAAATATTTGTTTAAAAAACTATTTTATAAAAGTTATTTAAATTATAAAACTGTTTTCTCAATTAATTAAACTAATTGTAGTGTGACATGCAGCAGTTTCACGACGAGTAACAATAAGAGGTTTTGTTATCTTTGCTCCTACTTTTTGTGTGTCTGGAGTTAATACGTCATTGTCTGCTTAAAAAATACTATGGTACTATTACAATTGAGCATTACATTATGGTAATGCCATACTTTCATGTACCATGTTGTTGTTGTTTTTTTACTTTTATACCATTATCATTCTACAGTATACATCATGTTTTTGGCCATGTCATTTGTAAGTATGTTTTTATACCATATTTTTTGGCCATGTCATGAGTAAGTATAGCCTATATAAAAAGAAAAACTTGTACTACCACAAACTTACCATTGTATATATACTGTACATGCACTTTACCATGGCACTTTTACAGTTTAGAAAACTATAAACTATAACAGTGCCATCTTATGTGGGCTAACTATAAACTATAACAGTGCGACTATAACAGTTTTAAATTTTCTGTTGGTTGTATTTTATCCCAGCTTTTATGCAGTGTTAAAAAGTGCTTCTGGACCAGTGTTGTTTACATCTTGTGAAATGGTCTATTTAAGACCGCACAGTTTCAGCCTAAAAAAAAAGAACCATCTTTTTTTAACCCTCTCACCTGTTGTTGGTCATTCAAAATATTCATTAATGATTCATTAAATCAGACCTGCGCCGGGATGGTAAATAAGAAAGGATTCTCTTGAGGACACCTGATCCTTACAACTATATGTGCCTGCGTAGGCACCCCCCTCTCAGAGCGGCCCAGACACTGAAGCTCTTGTGTTGTTCTTTCCAAACCTCTCTTTTTTTTACCTCAGGCCTTTATTACCATGGTAACTATGCGCAGACTGAGTGCAGCCTTGACTTTTTGCTATAACAAAGGAGAGAAGTTGGGGGAGGCTGGGTAGTAGGTGAACACATAGTAACCAACTAAATGGCTTATCTGCCTTTGCCAAGTTCTGAAAGTGCTGTATGCATTCTTCTGTTGTTTTCTACACTACAGTAGACACTAAGACAGAAGACTTTTGAAAGTTCTGTGTTTAATTACTCGCCTTCGTGTCTTTCCAAACCCATAAGACTTTTGTTCATCTTCGAAACACATATAAAGATCTTTTTGATGATCTGAGAGATCTGTTCCTTCATTGACAGCTACGCAACTACCACTATGAGGCTTCAAAATGTTCATAAAGAGATAAAACTGTTTGCTGATCTTTGAATGTTTATATGGGAATAAAAGTCTAAATTAAATGTGCTCATCTTGTGAAGTGATCGAGTCTCTTGAGAAATTTTGGACTAAACCGCTCAATTCATATGGTTTTACAACCTTTTTATGAACTTTTTGATGCGTCAAAGTGTCAGAAGGACAGAAAGCTCTCAGATTTCATCAATAAGATCTTCATTCGTGGTTCGAAGATGAACGAAAGTCTTACGGATTTGTAACGACATGAGGTTGAGTGATTAATAACAGAACTTTCATTTTTGGGTGAACTAATCATTTAAATAAATTATATATATATATTATATTGAAGTCAAATCATGGCATTACAATTTATAACATAAGGAATTATACATTTAGAAAACAATACAAGGACTTTCATTATCACATCTACAAATAAATAAAAAGGCATAGCAATAATTTTTCAGGATTTACATGTTGTGTTATATTGAAACCTAAAGTCGTTTTTGTCTAGTTTTGCCCTGTTTGTGACCTCATCCCTAGACCATATGATCTGAAATTAAACAAACGGCATATTTGGCAGGAATTGAAATCTGTGCATTTCAAAGTCAGTGCTGGACAATGGCTGAGATTGAGTTGAACTCCCACGGTCGGGCCTGTAAACAGAGGCTTTGTGTGGACAAACTCTGATCCCTGGTGCCGATGTCTCCACTCTACACTCTGTTGTTACCTCACACTGATAAACAGCACAGTGATTTCACGGCTTGTGGTTTTGAATAACGTCATTTTGGCCTGTCTATTAATTGATGTCACTGACGACGTGCTGACCAAAGACATTTAAAGAGACGGTTCACCTATAAATGATAATTCTGTCATTGTTTACTCTCAAATAACAAAATGTGTAATTTTTTCCAGAGTACACAAAAGGATAATTACTGACCATAGTGACCATGTCTGTCATTTCTGTTAAAAAATAATAATAATTATATTCAGTAAGGATGATATATTATATTCAGCATTACTTTGATCAATGTTATAATGTTACAAAACATTTCTGTCAAATAAATCGTTCTTTTGAACTTTTGAACAGCACAAATGTTTTAAAAAGAAATTTTTCTTGAGCAAATCAGCATATATATTTAAATAGAAAACAGTTATTTTAAATTGTTTTAACATTAAACAATATTGCAGTTTTTACTGTATTATTGGTCAAATAAATGCAGTAAGCATTAAAAAAAGAAACATTTTAAAAATCGTACCGGCCCCAAACTTTAATACCATCTTGTGTAATGTAATTTTTTATAATTTATAAAATAATAATATAATTAGATATAATTTAAGTTGTCAGATATATTATAAAGTGATTTATTTATTTCTATTAATTTAAGGAGTTTCCATGGACACTTCTGTTCCATTCAATCTGTTCCATCCTTATACAAAGCTATTGTATGCCTTAGACTGGAATGTAGTGCATTGTTTGAATTGGGCCTTTTATGATGTTTTTAGTCTTAAACAATAACTTCATAACCTAATACATTTTCTGTTTGCTTGCAAAACCTGAGTGATGCTATTTATATTGACACATTCAATGTCTTCTTTTAGCAAGTCATTGGTCATCATTGAGAGATGTTTGTGAAACAACCCTACGATAGTCCCCCGATGTACACTCCCCCTTCCAATGGCTTTGGGCCTCCGGGTAGCTTCCATGACCAACGGAGTGAATTTGATCCCTACCCTCCACCTCCAGGATCCTACTATATTGGCGAGGAGGTACCACAGCATTTCTACAAGTGGTTCTCCCCTCCAGGAATTGTAAAGATTATGATGGGGATAGTTGTAATCCTCTGTCTGGGAATCTTCGCCTGCGTGGCGTCGACTCTGGTTTGGGACATGCAGTACGGATTAGGTTACGGATCTGGATATGGAAGTGGCTACGGATACGGAGGCTACGGATATGGAAGCGGTGGATATGGAAGCGGTGGATATGGAAGTGGTGGATATGGAAGTGGTGGATATGGTTACGGGAGCTACAATTCTTACCCGACCCCTTACTCGGCAAAGACCAGCATGATCGCCATCGCTGCCATAAACTTCATCATCGCTTTGGGATTCTTTGCAGCCAGCTTCTCCAAAACAAACACGTTCCGGAGCAGGAAGTTCTATCTGGTGGTGCTTATTGTCGGTTCCATAATGGCAGGTATTCAGGGCATTATAAACATTGTGTACATTGTAGGAGTGAACCCAATGGCCCAAAGCTCCACCAGCTCATACTACAACCCCATGATTATGATGTGTCAGAACCTCTACGGAAGCAGTGTGACAGGAATGGGGGCCGGCTTTCCTGTCTATAACCAGTACTTGTACCACTACTGCTACGTGGACCCTCAGGAGGTACCATTTAAAGTTACAGGATGTTTGGAAATGTCTATATTTAATTGGTGTTTTCTTTATAGTGTACAATCAAAGGATTACAACAGATCATAACTTGTCCCTTACTGTGTAGAAGCTGACAGGAAGTGCATGTACACCTACAATGGAAGCCGACCCAAACCTAATATTGCATTTTGAAGAGAAAAAATATCCGTCTTTCTACTTAAAAATGTCATGTTTAATTCAATGCTACTTCAATTCAATTCAAATTTATTTGTATAGCGCTTTTCACAATACATATTGTTTAAAAGCAGCTTTGCAGAGTGCATTTCAGAAATGTACATGGAAAAATAAATTTAGTTAATCATGTAATAATTTAGGGCGTAACATATCGCCAACGTTGAGTCGTCTCTTCTCGGGCGTTTAGTCGTCTCATCGCATGTGAAGTCTCCGTGAGAGGCTGGATACAAACTGTAGCTGACTAATGCCATTTTCCAGATAACAGCAGAAAAGCAAATAGGAAATAATTAGCATAGCTGCTGTTCATAATATTAAATGCATTCGATCTGATTCAACAGAGGAATAAAAGGTAAAGTGGCTAAAGTGATGCGTCTTTAATCTAGTTTTAAACTTGGACAGCGAGCCTCGAACAATATTAGGAAGGCTATTCCAGAGTTTAGGAGCTAAATGCGAGACCTCCCTCCTTTAGTGGACTTAGATATCCTAGGAATGACTAGAAGCCTCGAATTTAGTGATCTTAAAGAACGCGATGGATTGTAGGGTGATAGAAGGTCCATTAAATACACAGGAGCTAAACCGGTTAGGGCTTTATAGGTCAGTAGTATTACTTTGTATTTGATACGGAACTTAATAGGTAACCAGTGTAGAGATGATAAAATTGGTGTTATATGATCATATTTTCTTGACCTAGTAAGAACTCTAGCAGCTGCATTTTGCACTTACTGTAGCTTGTTTATTGACGATGCAGGACAACCAGCTTATAAAGCATTACAGTAATCTACTGTAGTCTCGAGGTCATGAAGGCATGAACTAACTTTTCTGCATCAGAAACAGATAGCATGTTACGTAGCTTAGCAATGTTTCTAAGGTGGAAAAAGGCTGTTCTTGTAACATATGAAATATGTTGATAATATACTTGATGATTTTTTAAATAATTGTGAAATTTATTTGCAATTTGTAAAAAGTGCTTCTACTTTTTTTATCAGTGTATTTAGGTTGATTTAGTGATGTTAAATAGTATTTCTGGCATCATATTCACCCTCATGTCGTACTATCTAAACCCATAAGACTTTCGTTCATCTTCAAAACAGAACTGAAGATATTTAATGAATTCCGCCAGATTTAAACAAAACTCTGTCTCTGACGAAAGAAATCCATATGAATCGAGCGCTTTAATCCAAGTCTTCTGAAGAGATATGATCTCTTTATATGATGAACAGTTAATTTAGGCTTTTATTCACATGTAAACATTGATCAAAGCACATACAACGCACATCAAATATGGTAAACGGAAGCTCAAACGTTTGCAAAATGAAAGTAGAATGCATTTGGAATAACATTGGTGAGTAATTGATGACTTTTTTTGTGTGTGATCTATCCTTTAATGATACAAAATGGAATATATAGAATTAATTAAATAAATAAATAGATTTCTTTCTTAAAACAATTAAGTTGTTTAATTTAGCACAGGATAAAAAATCAGTGTATTTTGTAAGTATAATTAACCATAAATAAAAGTAGTCTTTCATCAAAACAACTATTTTGTTTGAGAACAGTTACCCCTCAAATAAATGAAATGTACATTTTAATGCTTTAAAAATATGAATTGGGCTTCCATTGTGAGTGCATTACTGTAAACACTTTTTCAAAGAGTAGAAATAATTGTATATAATATGTAGTTGTTAATAACCCATAACTTTCATTTTAAAACAATATGAAAGATGATTATTAAGATAATACTTATTATGAGAACACTTTACAATAAGATTTTGTTTGGTAACCTCATTAGTTAACATTAACTAATAATGAACAGCACTTCTACAGAATTAATTAATCTTTATTAATGCTAATTTCAGCATTTACTAACAAAATTATTAAAATCAAAAGTTGTAACATTTGCACTGTGAACTAACATGAACAAACAATGATCAACTGTATTTTTATTTTCTAACGTTAACAAAGATCAACTAATACAGTAACAAATGTATTGCTCATGGTTAGATACATTGACTTATGTTAACAAATGAAACCTTATTGTAAAGTGTTACCATTATTTTAGCTCAGTATGACATTTCTATGCATTGACTTAACGATATAATTTCATCTTTCTCAGGCAGTTGCAATGGTTTGTGGGTTCATGGTTATGTTGGCACTGGCTGTGGCAGCCTTCTTCTCCTATAGAACCAGAAGTAAAATCTGGCGCTACGGGAAGCCAAACATCTACTGGGACCGGCCACTGATAGTAGGAACCGAGGGCAGAGATGTGGAGGATTGGGTGAGTTTCCATATTACCACTTACAGTCTTCTAGGCTGAGTCGTGCTGCATGAAAGAAGAATCACATGGTCACTAATTAAATGGCACACCCAGATCAAAGTGGCATGAAGTGTCTTGCCTAAATTGATGAAAATAAAAAACGTATTGCTAGTCTCTAAACTTAAAGCAAACAGTATTCCAATACATTTCCATGTGCAAGTTATCCAGCATTCAAGCTCCAGCATCCCTGTGACCATACATAGGACAAGCGCTTTAATTCGGCTAAATTGTTTTTGATAGTCATTTAAGACCGTTTGTTTAGGTATGGGATTGGTTTAAGGATGTTGTGAAGCCTTTAATAGTTTCAATGGCCTGTGTGACACTGGTGATAATTCAGTCACAAGGTTGAATGAATCGCTGATACGGTCTGTTTGTTAACGGCCAGCCTAGTTTCGCTGTGATTGATCATTAACCAAACTGAAAGTGTCGAGTAGCTTTTAACTTCTTGGGACTGTGAACTGTTCAACTTTTGTAACACCCAGACGGTTTGGAAGCACACTTGAATTAGTATATTCGTTTACAATTCATTGAATAAATGAAATGATTAAGTATACACACATTTATTAGAAGGGGCCTATTTTTAATGGCCAATATTGATGGAGATTTTTAAAGAGTGTGGCAGTTTCAAATTAAAAATAATATATTTTGTTCAAACCTTGATTTTCCGAAATACATTACAAAATATAGCCTACTTCAAGGAGTAGCAGCGATATACATTGACAATCTTAAAATACATTTTTGGGTAAATTCAATCTATCTAGATTGAAAACATATTTTAAAAAAAATATTTTAAATGGATGAAAAATAATAGATAGAAAGTAACTAAAATGTACGTCCATTTTCAATGGCAATATTTTTTGCCATTTTTTTTCACCAAAGATTTCTGAAATTAGATGAACACTCATTTACATAGTGTTAGACAGTTAAAGGACCCAGAACCAGATATGATGAATGAAGACCCGGAGTCAGAATTATAATAAATGAAAGAAAAGATTTACTGAAGATAGTTTGCAGTTTCGTCAGCAGAAGTCAGCTTCAAGACTCACACAGGAATTTGTAGGCCGCCTCCCCTTACAGTGACAAAGATCACAGCAATTATACCATGCACCAAGGTCTGACCTACTTCCTTGCTTCAAGTTGTAGTTTCTGATTGGCTAAGAACATATAAAGTAAGTCATTTTCCTCACATATACAGATAGACTGAAGCATCTCTCTATAGATTATGCAGATGACACTCAGACCCTGAAGTTTAGGCACGTCATGACCTTCTAGGTCACAGATTTGGGTTGCTAGGCGCCAATATGACAAAGAAAACAAGTCAGTCAATCTCCCATAATGCCAGTGGTTCCTTAACTTAACCTGCAACCAATAAGACTAACACACACACCGACACAGCTTTTCCAAGGTTGGATTTGGCCAGGCTCTAACTATAAACAGAAGAGTCGTCTCAAAACATCAAGATAATGCGTTCTTTCTCTCAAGGATAGCTAGACTTTAGTCTAACTGGAAAGTAAGGCTTTAACAGGGAAATGATCCCTTTAACTATTGGCTTCAATGACCCCTATATGTTTTAACACGTTGAAGACATTTCTCAAACACAAAACAAGTCCATATTTCTGGAAGCCGGGCTCAGATACAGACATTAAAGAATACATGAAAAGAACATTTCAGTAATCACACTGTTTACTTCTATTCATTCAACTATCATTCATTACTTCGAGTCATTCAACTTGTTTGATATTAGAAGGAAAAATATTGATTAATACCTTGATTAATATTAATTGATAATGATTATAATCAGCCTAGCCCAGAGGAAGAGTGCTGCAAACAATGTCATATATAAAATTTAACCATAAAAACCTATTCTAGTAGACCCTAAAACCTAATCTAGACTAGTAAAGGGCGTAATGTGGCCTCTTTAATTGTTTTTCCTAGACAGATTAAATGGAGAGCTAATGGCTCCTCAAATTGTCTCCTGAGACCCTAAAAAATGTCTCCTTTAGCATTTCAGAAGAGATCACACTGTGCTCACTGCTCAGATTTACCAAGATACCAAAGTCTGAGATCTCAGTATAAACTTAAACTTTTCTGATTACGTTTCCAAGACCATCCATAAATCAAAAGCTCTGTACTCTTAAAGGAGTAGTTCACTTTAAAAAAAAACTTTTGCTGATAATTTACTCACCCCCATGTCCTCCAAGATATCCACGTCTTTCTTTCTTCAGTCGAAAAGAAATTAAGGTTTTTGACGAAAACATTCCAGGATTTTCTCCATATAATGGACTTCATTGGGTACCAAACGGTTCAAGGTCCAAATGAGAGTTTCAGTGCCGCTTCAAAGGGCTTTAAACGACACCAGATGATGAATAAGGGTCTTATCTGGGACCCTTCGTGTCATGACTCGAAAAAAGATTTGTTAATTTTGATGAACGAGTTTGAACAGGAGAGTCACGAACACTCATCACAGAACAGAGCAAGGCGAGCATTTGTGCTTATGAAACTTTTTTTAAAATTTTTTAAATTTTTTTTAATTTAGTTTTTAAATGATCGATCGTTTCGCTAGATAAGACTCTTATTCATCGTCTGGTGTCGTTTAAAGCCCTCTGAAACTCATTTGGACCTTGAACCGTTTGGTTCCCATTGAAGTCCATTATATGGAGAAAATCTTGGAATTTCTTTTCGACTGAAGAAAGAAAGACACGAACATCTTGGATGACATGGGGGTGAGTAAATTATTAGCAAAAGTTTTTTTAAAAGTGAACTACTTATTTGTTTCTATTTTACTTCTGGGAATTTTAGGGGAAATGTCTAAGTCAAAGTTGCTACGTGCTACAACTGACAATCTTCCTGAGCTTTAAATGAGCAACTTCTAAGCAATAAATCTTTGGTCCAGTCTGCAGGTTGTTAATGAACCTGTAGCTGCTAGTAGAGGCTCCGTATAGGGTACGGTTTGATTTTGGATTAAGTCTATTGGAAACATAATTACTACCATCATGAGACTGGTCTACCTCTCTCTCTGCCCATGGTGCTTTCAGTAGATCTATGAGATCTGACAGCGTTCCACACACTCCCTTTGAATACCTTTCTCTCCTTGCCTTTCTATCTCATTTTTTCTGGTGCAAATGGAGGTCACGAGCATGAAACGACCCTCTTTTTTGTTCTCAAGCATTCTTTCCCTGCTTATGTAGCGTGATCACGGATCAGTAGTTGCAGTAGCTCATGCAGGGAAAGCATTGTTGGAATTCCTGGATGACTTGGGCTCTTCTATACAGTGGCTTTTCCCATTCTCCCCAGCTGCAAGGAAACGCTCCTCCACCCTCTTTCCTGCTGCGTCTTCCCTCCGAACACACACACATACATTCACATACAACCTCTCCAGAACAAGACAAACAATCCCTCCGACACATACACCTGCTTTCATTGTTATAGCCGTGTACTGCTCGGCATAGTTTTTTCTTATATTCACATGGCCACTGCTTTTCACACCTTTGTATTTTAGAGACAAATATTAGGGAGTTTTTTTTTTACACTCATATTGTACCAGAAGTCATAACTATAATTGGCACTGTGTGTTTGTCACAAAACTTAAATGCTGTGAACATCCTCTGAAATCAAACTTAAACAGGAAGCACTTTTGCTTCTTATTCGCTGCGGACTTTCCTGTACGTTAGCAGAAGGAAAATAAAGTCTAAACAATGGATCCAAAATGTGTGTTTGTGTTTTGTTCTGCACAGAAATCTGTTTAAAAAAAATGCGTTCAAGACAGATTTATGATTGAATAATTTACATTAAAGCAATATACATCCTTAGCATAAGCTTCTCAAATAAAACTTATTGTGTCAAAAAAATGTGTTTATTTTAACTTTTCCAAACCTCCTTAATAATGTTATAAAAGATTTCTATTGCAAATGTTTTTCTTTTTAACTTTATACATCAAAGAATCCTAAAAAAAATGCTTCATGTTTTCCACAAAAATATTAAGCTGCACACCTGTTTTCAACATTGATAATAATACAAAATCAGCATATTAGAATGATTTATGAAGGATCATGTGACACTGAATACTCTAGTACTACTCTTATTTAGGGCTGTCAAACGATTAATCGTGATTAATCGCATCCAAAATAAAAGTTTGTGTTTACATAATATATGTGGGTGCACTGTGTATAATTATTTTGTATATATATATACACACACATGCTTGTATATTTAAGAAAAAAATATGATTTATATCTAAAATATTTATATTTATATATAATATAAATTATATATAAATCTATATACAGTTTATACATGAAAATATTTCTTAAATATATACAAGCATGTGTGTGTTTATATGTATAAAATAATTATACACAGTGCACCCACATAAATTATGTAAACACAAACTTTTATTTTGGATGCGATTAATCGCAATCAAATATTCCTGTTAATCTTAAACAATCCTAATGCTGAAAAACACAGACCTTTTGCCTGTCATTATCTGAAAAATGTTCCTTCCTGATTTTGCTCACGTCAGACTCTCTGTACAGATATATATAGTATATCGCAGTTTGCAGACTTTGTACTAAACGGGAAGTTTGTTCCTTTTTTAGGTCAACCGTGTACAGGATGGACAGAGCGTGCGGGAGGCGTCCATGGTGTTTTCAGAGAAGATGACTCCTGTTCTGGTGTCCGCCCCCAGTGTCGGCTCCATCCCCTTAAAGTCTGGCAGTGTCTTTAGCTCTGAGACCCACAATATTATCGGGTGAGTGAGTGAGTGATCCGTGCCGGCCCTGGCCTAGCTGGAGAATTGAATGCTGAGCTCCATGGAAACAGGCAAATTGCATGACCCTGCTAAAGAAATTTTGGCGCTAACTTTATTGCTTAACCCTTAAACAGGCAACGTGTACCACAGGATGCATACTAATTATTCTCTTGGAGATATGAGAAAGAATCTTTCATCCGATTCTGTTATCATTATCATAGTTGAGTCTGTTTGGAGCATGTGGCTCACATGGTTCAAATCATTTCTCGTTTGATCAGTTTGACATAAAGCCAACACGCCCGCCCAGAGTTCTGCACATTCTGACTTTGTAGAGAGGAGGCATATACACTCTCAGAAAAAAAAAAAGGTACAAAAGCTGTCACTGGGGCTGTACCTTTTCAAAAGGTACACTTTTGTACCCAAAGGCTGCATATTGGTACCTTAGTGGTACATATTAGGACCTAAAATGGACATATTAGCTTCAGATATGTACATATTAACACTTAAAATGTACATATTAGCACCTAAAATGCACCTATTAGCACATAAAATGTAATATTAACACCTAAAATGTACTTATTAGCACCTAAAATGTACTTATTAGCACCTAAAATGTACATATTAACTCCTAAAATGTACTTATTAGCACCTAAAATGTACTTATTAGCACCTAAAATGTACATATTAACACCTAAAATGTACATATTAACACCTAAAATGTACATATTAACAACTAAAATGTACATATTAACAACTAAAATGTACATATTAACACCTAAAATGTACATATTAGCACCTAAAATGTACATATTAACACCTAAAATGTACATTTTAACACCTAAAATGAAGAAAAAAGTATTAAAAGTATAAGAAAAAAGTATTATCCACAGACAGTATTGACAATGAGTGGTCTCAAGATAAACTGGGCCCCCTGTGTATTATTTTCTATCATTACTATGTATTATTGTATTATTGCCAGGGGTGCGCATAACTTTTTTTGGTCTGGTTCTCAAGGGAGCACTCACACTCGGCACACTTACCAGCTGTCGTCATCACTTTCCTCCTGACTGCTCTCCTCTTTTCTATCTTCTGTTCTCTCGAACATGGTAGATGATGTCTTCAGGATTACTTAGAAAATTTTATGTTGTATCATCAATTACATTATATGATTGATTAGGGTGGGATGGAGCTAAACATACAAGAAAGTCATTTTAGGACTCTTAGACATGTATTTTTTGCATATTATTATTATTTTTTTTTGCATCAAATAAATCTGAAATATTTATGATTTTGACTTTTTTATACCCTAATAGAGCAACGTATCCTGGGAGATGCATCTCATAGAATCCTACTGTAAAAAAAAATATATTTTCATGATTAGTAATCACAACATTTTTCTTTTGTCAAATCAATTTAATTTATGTAGTTCAGATAACATATAATTTTGAGTTTCTGATGATTAAATCAGTCTCCTTCATTCTATTAACTCACTTTTTCCATTTCAATGAACTTAAAATTTTAAGGCTACTTACTTTTTTAAGTTAAACCAACAATATTTTTTTACAGTGTAACTATATCAAACATTCCAAAAAGTCCAGATGATAAAAAAGTGACATGAAATGATATTTTTGCTGATCAGTTTCCACTCTTGTCTGTTTGAAGGTTAAAGTCATTTGAGATTGCATTCCAGTTAATACACTGCTTTAAAACGTTTGGTGTCAGTACGGTTTTGTAAATATGTTTTTGAAAGAAGTCTCATGGTCACCAGGGCTTAAGTTATTAGATAAGATAATGATATTAGAATTTAGCTGAATTTTCAGCATCATTACTCCAGTCTTCAGTGTCACATGATCCTTCAGAAATCATTGTAAAATGCTGATTTGCTGCTAAAGAGCCCAAACTTTGGAGCGATAGTGTACAGTTACTCCCGATTCAGACTAGCCCTTGCTGTGGTATATTTAGACTTTTATTTGTGACCTTTGCTATGAAGTTAGGTCAGCCGTGCTATTGTGCTTTTAAATTAGTTATCTTGCCCATTAGTCTGGCTAATGGTCTGGGCCATTAGTTTCATGAAGTCAGGTTAGATTACACCAGATATGACGTGTCTTGGCCTGAGATCAAACTAGCTCCATTTTTTTTAATCAGATGTTCTTTCACTATAATTTGTTTTTAAATTAAGTCTCTCCCTCCATGTCTGCCTCTGTCTTTCTCTGTGTGGCTCTATGAGCTTTGATGGTATTGATTCATTATAAATGAATGAATTCAGATCCTTTTTCTATAGACAGTGTTGGCAAACTCCCTGTTAAGATTTAACAATCAGGCAATGTCTCTGTAAAATATGATTGGCTCTTCATTTATTTAAATAGTCAACATTTATTGAAAAACAAGCTAAAATCACACTGAGGTACAACAATAAAAGCTATTTTTAAAACTGGTTTGGCTATACTTGTGAGGGCCATATTTTCTAAAATGTCCTCACAAACACCAATTTATGAGGCCATTTAAAGAATTCCTCAATATTTGAAATGCTTATAAATTGAGCAAATAATATTTTACTACAATATTCCCAACATATTTAAAAACAGGGTATAATAGCCTAAATATGAAAAAATATATATATTCTTTATTCTTGTTTCTGATATGCATTTGCTCATTCAGTTCATTAATTTCCTCAGTCATAACTACTAGTTTTACCCCTATTTTCTGATTGTCATACAGTATTCTGAAGAATATTTTGATTCTATTTTATTCAGCATTAACATTGTTTTTTTTATCTCACAGTTACCCTGAGCGCTCTTTCAGCCACCCATCTCACTCTACATCCCCGTCAGGAGAAGTGAGCTCCAGCCCTTCCGACCAGACCGACCCCATCCGCAAACCGTCCGCCTCCAGGGGCAAGAGACGCAGGAGGAACCCTGAGCTGGACGAGTCCCAGTATGAGACCGAGTACACGACGGGAGGAGAGATGGCCAACGATTTTGATGAGGATCTATGGGCACGGTGAGGAGTTGTTGGCTCAGTACTAATGCATTCCCTTGGACACTGCATGGAAGTTTTTAGGAGAGAATCATGTCCACATGCTAACATAATAGACTAATTTTGCGTTATAGGGTCAAAGGCTGTTGCAAATGTGTGTATGTTTACATGTGTTGTTTGGTTTGCTCTGGAGAGTTAAAAAAGCAGACCATGTTGGACCATTAAAGGGAAATTTGTGGTCTTGTTTGTTTTAATGATACATTTTACAGCATTTATTGGCATTGGTTAATGTTAGTTTAATGTTCATTTTAGTTCACGGATGGTTACAGATAGAACTTTTAATCTTAAAAATTTGAATTGGTGAATGTTGAGATTAACATGAACTAAGATTACTAAATGTAGAAGTAGAAACTATTATTATTAGTTCATGTGAAGTAATGTTAATAAATAGAAACCTTTTTTGTAAAGTGTTACCCAATATAAAATACTTGTATTCACTGCATTATAACTAATTCTAGCCATATTTTTTCACTAGTTTGCTTTTTATTTCTTTTTACACAAATGAAGAATATAGAGTTGAAAGTTTGGGTGGCCACATTACTCAGAGATTCACGCAATTTCAGCAAATACTGATATTTCATTTCACTTGAGCAAGATTTCAGCAAAATATGTCACATTACATATATTTTGGCAAATAGTGGAATTTCACATTAGCAAAATTTCAGCTAAATATGTCACATTACCTACATTTCGGCAAATACCGATATTTCATTTCACTTGAGCAAAATATCAGTGAAATGCGTCACATTACCTACATTTCGGCAAATTGTGGAATTTCACATTAGCAAAATTTCAGCTAAATATGTCACATTACTTACATTTCGGCAAATAGTGGAATTTCACATTAGCAAAATTTCAGCTAAATATGTCACATTACCTACATTTCGGCAAATACCGATATTTCATTTCACTTGAGCAAAATTTCAGTGAAATGTGTCACATTACCTACATTTCGGCAAATTGTGGAATTTCACTTTAGCAAAATTTCAGCTAAATATGTCACATTACTTACATTTCGGCAAATAGTGGAATTTCACTTTAATTTGGCGAATGGTGATATTTTACATTAGCCAAATTGTCTTTGATGGGTGGACTTTTACAAAAGCTAAATATCAGTGAATGGTAGTCTTTCACATTAGCCAAATTTCGGTGAATGGTAGTATTTTACATTAAGTCACATTCATTTATATATTTTTATTTTATTTATATATTTATTTATTTATATAGCGCTTTTAACAGTACTAGTGAAATTTTGGCGAATATTGATAGTTCACATTAGCAAAATGGCAAAATGTCTCTGAGCAAGGGTAAATGTGTGCTCCTTTACTCTGTTAATGGTGGGTGTTTTTCTGCGTTGTGGCAAATAAAAGGCTGTCAGCTCAAACTCCACAGCAGTTAATCCATTAAATACCATCATTGTTGCCTTGATCAAAATGCTTAACTCTAGGTCGCTCCAAAGGGATTGTTGTTAAAAAAAGTGGATAACATTTGATTTCTTTGGATAAATGTTTATTAAATAACTACCAAATTGATTCCCTTTATCTTTTTTCTGCATTAAAGTTAAACATACATGTTCCATAAGTCGCAGCGAGTAACATCACAACCATCCATGTTCCTGTGTACTTCCATGTCAACTGCCTTCTGTTTCATTCCCAATCAGTCTGTATCCAGAGATCACGTCTGATGCCCAACGACACGAGTATAAGAAAGAGTTTGACTCGGACCTCAGGACCTATAAGGAACTGTGTGCTGAAATGGATGACATCAGCGATCAGATAAACAAGCTCAGCAGAGAGCTGGACACACTTGATGAGGGAACGTCCAAGTACGAGGTGAGTGACTGAAACATTTTAGACTTTAAAAGTTCAACTCCCTGTCATTCAAATGCATGACTTTCTTTTTTCTCTCACGTCATAGGCTGTAGCAGAGGAATATAATCGTCTGAAAGACCTAAAACGGGTGAGTCTTGATCATAAAACTAAAGAATGACTAATGACTCGCATTCATAGTAATAGATGCACTGCTTTTTTGATGTTAATATGAGGCTCTCTTTCCCTTATTCTCTCTGCTTAGATGCCAGATTATCAAAACAAGAAGCACCAATGTCGCAAACTGCGCCACAAGCTTTTCCATATTAAACGAATAGTTAAGATCTACGACCGCGGTCAGTAATAAGCTACCAATGCTCTCCTTTTCCCTCATTTTTGCATTTAATTAATCATGGGCGGCCATGACGAAGCCTTTAAATGACTGTGTGACCAAAGCTGCCCGAATCCTAAACTGCTGTAACATTGGCTTCACCCGGTGCTTATGATTAACCTGAGCCCTAAAGATGGTTGCCTTGGAAACGAGGTCCTTTCAAAGTCTCTCCATTTCCTGGAACATGTTCTTTCACTGGAAACATCTGCTTGATTTCATATAGCCTGTAAAATGCCATAAAGCAATGAGATGTTGTCATTCTGTTGTTTGTGTGCGAGTTGGGTGTGGTTGTGAGTTCTAACCTCGAGGTCAGCTGATTGCAGCGGTGCATGAGTTTGTTGCAAAAGAAATGTACTTTGGACAATCCTTTCCGACTGAGTAATTTAAACCTGCATTGACACTAATTCAGTAAGTGTCCTTGTGTATGACTGTAGGTGAGTTAAAGGGATAGTTCACTTTGAATTTAATTTTTGGTATCTTTTAGCTTACCTCAAGGGCATCCAAGATGTAGGTGTCTTTGTTTCCACAGTATTTTCAATTTTGATAATTTTAGGTCAAACCGTTGTTGTCTGTCAGTCATATAATGCAGGTCTATGGTCACCACCTCAAAGAGAACGCACAGAGAAGTCCAAATTAAACATGATTTAATGACTCATAAATGTAAGTACACATTGATGGCCTAAGACACGAAACGAGTGGTATGTGTGAGAAAACGAACAGTATTTATATCGTTTTTACCTTTTGTGACCACAGCCACGTCCAAGTGATCTGAGGGCGGTTACAAGGTTACAAGAGGTAAAAACGATATGAATACTCACACAAACCGCTCATTTCGTGTCTTAGGCCATCACTGTGTACTTACATTTACGAGTCATTAAATCATGTTTAATTTGGACTTCTCTGTGCGTTCTCTTTGAGGTGGTGACCATAGACCTCCATTATATGACTGATAGACATGAACGGTTTGACCTAAAAATATCAAAATTGAAAATACTGTGAAAACAAAGACACCTACATCTTGGATGCCCTTGAGGTAAGATAAAACATACCAAAAATTAATTTCAAAGTGAACTATCACTTTTTAAGTGTGCTTTATTGTGAATGCTTGTAATTTTCAAAGTGTGACTGTTGGTCACTGCTTGTTTTCAAGTCAGAAACCATGAAAGTTCTCATTTCCTAGGTGTGCCACAACACCTTTATTTTTTTTTTTTAACAGATGCCTGCCTCTGTGAAAGAAGATAATATTTGGAATTTTAAATCACAAAGCGAAACTGGGATTATAAATTCAGTAGTGATAGTAAAAACAGTGCCAGAGGTACACTATGCAAATTTGTACAAATGTGCAAGAATTCTGTTCATGTAGCTTTAGATTTTTATGTTGCATTTGATTCATTTGGGGATACTGTGATTTTCACACTGTTTTTGAAACAAATAATAACTGGTTATTTTTAACTAATCAACTATCTATGCAAGATCAAATACTGAAGTTCCATTTGTTTTATGTTGTTATAGACATCAAATAAATTTTGTTCAGAGGTTTTTTATTTTACTCTTTTGTATGAAAACTAAAAAGATTTAAAAGTGACCTCTATAGGGCATTCATTTTCAGCTGTTAATGAGATAATGCTTTTTTTGTTTGTTTTTCTCATGTGCCTAACCGCATTTATGTTTATCTATATTTTTGTCCTTTCTATTTTCAATAAAATTTTGTATTTTAAGTTTGATCTGTTTTTTGAAAGTATAGCTAAATCTACAGCCAAATTATTTACGGAGTAAATTTTTGTTTTCATTTATTAATGCAGAACAATATGAAAATATGCAATAAAAACGTCAATAGAAAGTAGAAATGTAGTAGAGGTTAAAATGTAATTGGTACTTTAAAATATAATAATTATTTACGTAATTTAAAAAGTGTAAGATGAGTTGAATATCGATGTCACATATAAGATTATGTATATATTTATTAAATAAAATAATTTTTTTTCAACTTTGGACATGCGTCGAATGTATAAGCAAATGGGATCAGAAATGCTTGACAACCGCGCCCTCTGCTGGATGTCTTACTTAAATGTTACGAAAATACACGAGGAGGTCTTCGGCTTCGTTCGGAAACTTTACGGAAAAAGGCTTTTGCTAAAGTACCAAAAAGACTCGAGCGCCTATTGGTCACCACGAGATACAGCACTTTCCAATCCTGACTGCTGAGGCAAAGCCATTCGAGATGCTCAAACATGAAATGAGGTTGTGTTGTAGAAAAACTTTCTGAGGATATTTCGAAAGGTTAAACATAAAGGTACGTGACTTTCATCTTAGTAAAACTTCTGTCATTAGCAATAGTTATATTTAATGAATTTTATATTGGAGAACCAGCGTAAAATGATGACTGCATTGCGCTTCTCTGAGTTTGAAGAGAATTATGACGTCTTCATTTGTGTTATGCTTTCATAAGGAAACATTTTTTATATTAGTTCGTTTTTCTAAATTCCCTGAAAGCAAGTCGACGACGTCTATGTGGTCGTATTGATAAATGAGATGCCAAAACGGTTATAATAATGATAAAAATGATACTAAATTGTGGTAATACGTTATTGTAAAGTGTTACGAGTACTTATAGCAATAACAGTAAATCATAGCCTATATAATTACAAAACCTAACCCTAACCGTAACTCTTTAGTAAGTGCATGTAATATTGCTCAGTAGGTAAATATGACACCTGAAAAGAAAATGTAACCTCAATTATTATTGTAACTATTATATAAAAGAACACATATTTGTATTAATAAAAGGCAAAATAAGTGATATTTCCCCTTTAATGAAAATGAAAGTGTCTGCGGATTTTTAACCTTCTTCATCCAACACACACTCACGCTCACATTACACGCAGGGTTCCTGGTTTAATTCGCTTAAAGGATCAGTGGCTCCTTGTGTTCGTTCACGTGGTTTGTGTGCCCGAATCTGTCAAGACCTCTAATCTGTCCCTATTCCCGACCTGACACGTGGTGTGATACTGCCAACACTTTGCCAGGCTGAAAACAAGTGGTTGAGTGTTATAGGCGGTTACTAGGGTGTTGCTATGTGGTTTCTTGAGTGTTCTGAGTTGTTGTTGTTGTTGTTGTTGTTTTAAAAATTAAATTATTGGAAATGGCCAAATTGGACCACTCTGTATGTTGTTAGAATGACAAATCGTCGTCAATAACAATATAATTTAGATGGCCAATTAAATCAAAGTAGGCGGGGTTTACAGGTTACAGAAGCCGAGCGTGAATTCCAGAGGACGTCCCCTGATTGATGTAGTGCGTTTTTTAGGGCACCATGTTCTGTAAATGTATGGACTTTCGGCTTCTTTATTAATCATGTTCATTCGCCTAAGTCAGCAGTTTTAATTCATCATAAATAAATGAAAGTAACTTCATTTGAGCCAAAATTAAACAAGTGCATATTGCTCACCAGAGGAACATGATTGTTCAGAGTAGCTGATCATTAATTATAGGCTATCAGAGTCTGGCTGAGTCGCATTATTGGCTCCCTAAGGATGAAAGTGGTTCTCGGTGCACCATGTAAATGCAGGCTTCAGAGTTGAGACTAAACTCCATTTATCATGTCAATTCGACATGTATAGTTAATCATAAATAAATGTAAAGTGGCTACTCTTGTGTGACATTGCTTTAATGTGCCAAAACAACATAAAATGAAGGAACTTGCCTCATTTTACTGTGTTGGTTTCTTTCTCAGTGTTTCTTGTAAATGTACAAACATTAATTTATAGGAAAGCTGTTTTATTCTTCCTTCATTCTTATTGTCAAAAAATAAGTCTGTTAATCTAAAAAATTCATGTTACAGTGATGTTCAGAAGTCTGAACATTGACATTTTAAACCTGCAACAGTAAGTGGTTCAAAATTATTTTTTCGTTTTCTTTTTTTATAGAACATTGCACTATTAATTATGGAAGCAATAAATAATAAAAAAAATTATAAAAAGATAATTGTGACATTTACATCTCACAATTCTGACTTTTTTTCCTCACAATAATTTTTTTTTTTTGCCTTTTTTAATTAGTGCTGGGAACACGCTTCCATAATTTATTTTAAATGATTTATCTGTGTAAATCATAATTTAATTTAAAGTTTTTTATTCATGTGCCTCATAATCTTTAATTAAAATACCTTCCCCTCCCTCTTGCAGCGTCATCTCTTCTCGCCAGACGTGGTTAGTGGCACGAGGGCGGGATCAACCTGTCACTCACATGAGAACAACCAATAGCAAACCACAAACATACAACCATCCAATCAATTGTTTGATAAGTCGTTTCACTCTGAAATACATATCTCGCAAATAGGGAAGAAAAAACTATCTCAAATTCCTTTTCATGCCAACTATAAAACAAAGAAATATGACAAAATGATGAAGAAATATGTATTTATAGGTTACTAATCAATTGTAAACATGTTGGATCCTATAATCATCACGTTTCTGTCATTAAAGCAAAAGTCAAACCAAATTCTAAGACATCGTGCAATTTATGTGTATTTTTTGCACTCAAATTGTCATGCTGTTTAAATTTGTAATGGAAAAATTCATAAATTTGAAAAGAGAAATTTGAAATAGAAGCCATGTCACTAGTTGTCTATTGTTGTGTGTATATTATAAGCTGCTTTTTAACATTTGGTTTCTGAAGATTTGGGAACGGGCTGGGAGTTGAGGTGCTTTGGCAGGTTGTGTGGGTGTTCTGGAGAAACGCTGAGAAGACGTGCTGATTCGGCACAACCGCATCCCACTCTGTCCCCGAGCTTCCATTAAAAATGCTCTCGCTGCTTCCACGGGTCTCTCTGGACCTGCAGGACCCACTGTCGGAACGAGCAGAGCCGCAGAGTGATCAAAAAATATTGCGTCGTTGCAGGTTGAGTCTGTTGAGTTTGCTGAGTTCTGAGAAAAAGGGTTTTTTACAAACCCCTCCCATCTGTCTCAGCTGCTACACTCCCTCATTTACATCATCAGATCTTAAACATCTCAAATCTCTCTCTGTTCCTCTCTTGCTGTATTCTACTCTCCGTTACTCTCAGGTTTCTAACAGGGTCACGTCAGCCTGCCGAAATGATGAAAGATTGCCTTCAGTTCCTCATTGAGCCAGCAAAGAAGCTCAAGTTTCGTCTTAAGGTACAGTGTGACATTCATTGATTCATTTCATCAAAGAGTTTATCAGTAAAATTCATAAAAATCAGTGCTTTTTTTTAAGTGACAGGCACGTGTGCAGTTGTGACCAAAAGTGATATCATTGCTTTTAATGTCCCTATAAGTTCAAGTACCATCCAAATATGAGGAAAATATTTAATATTTTTTAAATTTGGGGGAATAACAAAACATTAAACTTGCTTGAGGTATTTATGTTACAAACTACACTTACAGGTTTAATTTTACTATGCAAAAAAATGATCTAAAGAAAAACAAAAAGCTTTTGTTTTGACTACAATGTTTTGCACTGACTACATCATAATCAGTTTTGCATTAAAAAGTAGGTTACACTTTATTTTATTTTAAGGTGACATAGTTATTGTACTTACTCAAATAAGTATTGAAAAACATGAATTAACTACATGTACTTACTATAGACTTGGTAAAAGGTATGGTTAGGGTTGGTTGCAATTATCCATAGCCATACTGTCATTACTATAGTAGCACATGTACTACATCACCTTAAAATAAAGTGTTACCAAAAAAGATGTCCATACAATTTGGCATCACAAATAGAACAATTGACTCCAAGGCAACCACAACTATGCAATATGTTTACAAAATCATTAACACATTTTTAATAATATTTGAATAAATGTTGAAGATGTCCATTTTTCTAGGCCGGACATCACTTTTGGCCACTGCTGTATGTCAGATGAGTTGTGGCATAATTTCCACCACCACCATAAAAATTTTGCCTGCTATTAAAGTAGTGTGCTTTTTTTTCAAGGAGATGAGACGTGTACAGTTACAAAACTTGAAAGTGTAATTATAGTAATTATTTACTATGAATATTTTATTTAATTGTGTGTGAGTAGAAGAGCTGCACGATTCCGGATAAATTGAGAATATATATATTTTTTATTATTATTAATACAGGAGATCACGATTTTCCCACAATTCTAACCAGACAATTAAACATGTCATTTAGGAGAGGTTCTGACAAAATTTCAATTGCTTGTAAATTCATTTGAAATAGTTATTTAAAAAAAAAATAATAATTTAAAAAAAATGATTCAATGACTCATGTTTACTTGTTTCATTACTGTCTGAATGAATCTGTGTATTTGAACAAATCTCTTGAATGAATGATTCAATGACTCAGTCATAAATACTTGTTTCATTACTGTCTGGATGAATCAGTGTTTTTGAACAAATCTCTTGAATGAATGATTCAATGACTCAGTCATAATTAGTCTACTTCATTTGTTTCATTACTGGATACAATCATTTCAATGATACAATCATTTTTTGAACCGCCATCTTGATTGTTTCCGTAGACATCAGTTTATATCTGAACTATAAACTTTTATCCCAGTACTTCAGTTTGAATATAAATTGAATATTTTTTAACTCTGTCTAAGACTGTTTGTGAATCATATCTACGCGTGACAGCTGCACTCTGGCCCAGTGGCAGCGCAAACACAGACTTAAATGTCCCACAGTGATATTTTAAATGAATTGGAATAAGATCGCATGGGTGTTTGAATTGAGATCGCAATCTTTTAACAATTAATTTTCCAGCTCTAATAAGGAGGATGGATAATGCAGAACAAAGGAGTCGGCATTTATAATCAAACATGTTTAACTGTCATTTCATGTTATCAGACACAATTACATTATTTGTGATGTGGTGGAAATGCTTTCAGAAAAAAATAAATATAAAAGTTCAGCTATGATATTCCCTGCTGTAGCTTTAGTTACTCCATTGTTTCCAAATCAATGTTTCCAATGTACAGGAGACGCGGAAAAGAGTGAAACACGTAAAGAAAGAGCCATTAACAGAGAGTCAGCTGTTTATAATGGAGCTCGCACGGGAACTCAACAGGATCTGTCAGGTGAGACGAATACATTATTGCACTGTGCCTGGCTTTTCTTTAGCCTGGATCAATGAATGAATTCACTGCCATCAACTCAGAGATTTCCAATAGATTTCTACACACATTTTCGAACTCTTTGTGTGAACCTCTCATTGCTGATGTCTTTCAGAGGACAGATATTCTGGCTCACATCTGGACCGGAGAGGACGTCTGGCCTCCGCACGCCTGTCGAGAGTTCATTGTGGAGACCGCCAACGTTCTGGAGATGAAGGTTAGAGAACATGAACTCAATCACAGGCAGAGGAACTCAATTGCACTTTAAAGAAATTCAACACAAAACAGGAATTTGTTCCACACAAAACAAGAACAGATCTATTCTTATGTCTCCTGTTAAAGGTTTCTATCTTCTATCTCTATCTATAAACTGCTTCATCAAGACTAAAATGGATTACTTATTCCGTCTTGGTCCATATAACTGATTACATTTCTTCATGTATAATAGGCTAGCTGATAATATTATAGAAAGATATTATTGAAATTTGTATTTATTAATTGTAATTTTATACTATAACTTTAATTTATATTATACTATAACTATACTGTATTTATTTTAGTAATATGTAATAATTATAATTGTATGCACTACTGTTTGGGGTCGTTTTTGAAAGAAGTCTCTTATGCTCACTAAGGCTACATTTATTTAATCAAAAATACAGTAAAAATATTAATATTGTAAAATATTATTACAATTTCAAATAACTGATTTATATTTGAATATATTTTGAAATGTAATTTATTCCTGTGATGGTAAAGTTGAATTTCCAACTTCATTAATAAATAATTCTAATAAGATTATTTGCTGCTCAAAAAAAAAAATTCCTGATTATTATCAATGTTGAAAACACTTGTGCTGCTAATATTTTTTGTGTAAACTGTGATACTTTTTGTCAGGATTCTTTGATGAATAGTAAGTTCAGAAGAACAGCATTTATACGAAATAGAAATCTTTTGCAACATTGTAAATGTCTTTACTGTCTACTTTTATCAATTTAATGTGTCATTGCTGAATAAACATTAATCTCTGTAAATAAAATAAAAATAATAAAATATAAATGACCCTTATGTTGTGTGTATAATAATCATACTAAAGATTGTATTATTAATATTTTATTATAATATTTTTATATATTGAAAAAGCAGTTAAATTAATTTTAAATGTACTTCCTTAAAATTTAAAGGATACTTTTTCATGAGATTAAATTCCGGAAATAAATAGAATGGTAACAAACATAATTAATTAAAATTAAAATGAACATAGTTAATTTTTTGAATGATGCACAACCCTGTTCCTCAGCAAATAAACTCACCATCCTGTATTAATGTATCTGCGTCCAATAGGAGATCCACACTGTTTTTCAGACAGCTGTTATTTCCCAGGATCTGCATGACTAATTACAGGCTGATGTTGGTTGGTAGAACCGTGTGTTATATTTAGATAAAATCCTGCTTTAGACTCAAAGTGCCACCAGTCCCCATAGTAACCAGCTAGTCTGTTTATGTCAGGATGACTGACAGGTCCAGTGGCTTAAGGGTTTAAAATTCTGTGTCACTTTTCAAAGGATCAAGCTCTAATCATGGTTTGTTTGTAAGTTATAGTATACTGTAGTCCGCAGCACTTTTGTGTCCTTGAGAAAAGTGTTGAGCTGTAGTTCGCTCCAGGGCGTCCGCCTCTCGGATTTAGTGTACTTTTAAAAAAGCTTGTTGTCAGCACATTTCTTCTGAGAAATCAAAGTAATTGATTTGAGTCAGACGCGGGCTGTTTATTAAAAAGTTTACTGCGTCATAAATGTCAGCTCAAGGGGCTGAATAGGCCTCTAGTTACTGAGGCAATTATTTTCAGAATCACTGACACTGAATCAAACATGTTGCAAAATTGAAATTGACCCTCCACTAAGACCCAGTTACTGTTGCTACGTCCAACAAACCATGGCACTGTCATGTCACACATCATGTTCGGAGCAAAGCGCAAAGAGGACACTAACAACGCGCCAACAGACAGGACAGTGCAGGTTACTTTTGGTATGATAAAAAGTCTCAGCTAGCCTTTCAGATTTTTTAAGAAATTCAAACAATAAATATAATTTTGTGGTTCTTTAATATGACGTGACAGATCGCTGTAGCACCTCAGGTCATGCGGCACCGTGAACCAATCATCGTTTCCTACTATAGAACAAAATATACATGAATGAACATCAGAAGGTATGTTGTTTCAACTGCGAAAAAATGTTAATACGCACCATTTTCAAGATCACCGATGGCAATCTTCTAACTCTACTTTTTTTTGTTGGACTAAATGATGATTGTCAGATCACCTGTCAGTTAAACTCCCGGCGAGGGGTGAATTGCATTAAAGGGATGGTTCACTTTGAAATTAATTTTTAATATGTTTTAGCTTACCTCAAGGGCATCCAAGATGTAGGTGTCTTTGTTTCCACAGTATTTTCAATTTTGATATTTTTAGGTCAAACCGTTCTTCTGTCAGTCATATAATGGAGATTTATGGGGTCCTCCACAAAGAGAAGGACGGGCGCTTCGTTCTGCACAAGCGCCGGAAAGCGCCGGAAATGATCTCTTACGCGTTTGCGAAAAGAAAATCAACGTTGTCTGGTGATATATCGAAATAGTCTTCCGTTGCAATTTCCTGTATATCTAAATATGTTCAATTCTACAACTTGGATGCCCTTGAGCTAAGCTAAAACATTTCAAAAATTAATTTCAAAGTGAACTATACCTTTAAGGGTAGGTTTACTTGACTATGATAAAAACAGAAAAGTTGTTCTAGTGGGTTTTTTCTTGTATAGACAACAACATTGTCAAAATAAGTTAAAAAGAAGTTTTAGTACATGGTAGTCATATAAACGTGTCCTGAATGCCTAAATGGGGTTCCCAAGGTTAAAGGAATAGTTCACTCAAAAATGATAAGCCATTTCAGTAGCACCTCATTGCAGTACACGAGATCCAGGGGGCGGAGTCAGATCCAGATCTGAGGGGTGGAGCTGGGTAGGTTTAGGGGTGGGTTTAGGGATCAGGGGGTGGAGTTGTGTAGGTTTAGGGGTGGGTTTAGGTATTAGGGGGTGGAGCTGGGTAAGTTTAGGGGTGGGTTTAGGGATCAGGGGGTGGAGTTGTGTAGGTTTAGGGGTGGGTTTAGGGATCAGGGGGTGGAGTTGTGTAGGTTTAGGGGTTGTTTTAGGGATCAGGGGGTGGAGTTGTGTAGGTTTAAGGGTGGGTTTAGGGATTACGGGGTGGAGCTGGGTAAGTTTAGGGGTGGGTTTAGGGATCAGATTGTGGAGCTGGGTAGGTTTATGTACAACTATATGTAAGGTGGGAGGAGTTCGATCTTGATCCGACTCCTCCCCGTGGATTTCATGTTCTGCAGTGAGGACCATCTCAGCTATTTGACTGATTTTCTTACACAAAAAAATACATTACAAAAAAATAATAATAATTTAAATTCTGTACAGTTAATAAATGGGTACTGGAGATTTCATTATTCATTTCAAATACACTATAAAAGTATCATAAAATTCCAAGTCTTGTGTTTTTACACGCTGTGCAGGAAAATATGGAGAAGCCCATGCAAGTTTATACCGATCTGCAACCAGAAAAGCGGGACTGGAAGAGTCATTTACTGAGCATGCTTGAGCAGGGAGGAGAGCATGACATGGGCTCGTATAAAAGGATCATCATGGACTGGACCAGAGGACAGCGCAACAGACACCCGGTGAGGATCCGAAACACCTACACATACTCATGAGGTGCATCCTGGGCTGCTTTTTTAACCGTATTGAAGGAGTACATGTACATGTAACTTATTTTTCTTGCGAAATAAATTCATAGAAGGGCGTAAGTTATATTTGTCTACAAAACTCATTTCAGTTATTTAAGCATAAGCCATTATATCAAAAAGTTTGTTACAGTACATCATATGAGAAACATATTCAATCAAGCATGTACAAACTTTTGGCTAGTAATGTTTAGTGGGTCTCTATATAGCAAATAGGTTTAAATCGGTAAATATATTATTGGTTACAACATTCTGTCTCTTTGTAAGGGGTTATTTGTTTGTGAATGTGTAATTTAATATCAATCCATGCTGTAAATGAAGTGTCTGATTCTCTCTCTCTCTCAATGGGTCTTAGTCTTGGGTTGCTCTCTGATTAAGTATTAGGATATTAACCTTGCTATGATCCTCTTGTCCGACTGTGTTGATTACAAACGACCTCACTGACTGACCTGAGAGAGACATGCATAACCCGTTAAGCTGTATAAATGGAAACTCACCATTGCCTTGTACAGTTTTTTCAATTAAAATAATGACAGGTTTGCCAAATCTTCTAGCTTACTGCACAGTGTACACTTTATACTACCTACAATTTTAATAGAATGTAAAACAGTATGCATTATGCAACAATACCTAAATAAATGTAGTGTACTCCCATATCGAAAACGTGAATTTTGAAGATGTTTATCCCTTTTACAGTCTTAGCCACATTGTTTACACTCTTCGAGGAAGTCAACCTTCAAATAGCTACACTACATTAACCTGGATACGAGAAAGCATTTAAACATTGATAAAATTACACACCTTTAAGTCTATAGGGACATGAATCCTTTCAATATATCATCACCTTTGCTTAATCAATAATTCATTCATCTCTCAGAGTCCTCTTAGGAATCATTTGTGTGTAACTCAATATCAGTAAATACTGTTGGCATCATCTCTCTTTCTTTCATTACGAACAACTCCCATGTGACACATGATGAATTTCTGAAAACTTTGGACATTGACAGTTTCTGAAGTGTGTTTTAAAAAGATATATTTTATGATTTCAGTCATTTATCAGTTTCTCTCTCCAGCACGGGATCTGGCCGGGTGAGGCGGTGTTGATGATGTTGGATGACGTGGAGCTGCAGTGGAAGCGGGGTCACCTGACACACCTGCAGTCTGCCGTGCAGCTGCTCATTGGTCTCGTTCTTGGGGAACACCTGGACAAGGTGCGATGCCCCTGGAAACAGATACAACATTCATAAACTTGCATGAAATTCAAAATCTAATAACAAGCACAATTGACATTGCAGGAGCTCATTCCAAGACTGTGGCTGGTACAAAAACAAAAGACCCATAAGATCGGTGAGCAGGCAAAGACATTAATGCCTTGGAATTATTTTTGAAGGATAATTATCTAGCTGCTGTTAGTGATTTCTGCACCCTAGTGGCACCAAGTGGAATTGCAAAAACAAAGCTTATATTGCTTATGTTTATAGTTTCCTTGAAATCACATACAGCTGTTTTATTAGATCATACCTGAATTTCTTTGGATATTGAGAAGATGATTGGCATGTCTTGAATGGGATTTCTGGTCATCTCTCTCTTCTTTTTTAGATTTCACTGGCTACATTCCACACATTGGTGAGAGAGTAATAGTTTCAGCAATCAAACAATTATTATACAGTATTTAAATGCACTGATATCCAGTGACTCTAGTCACTAAGGCCATCAGTGGAATAGTTTCTATTATCTTATGTAGTAGGCTAACACAGAAATATTGCTCTTTGTTTCAGTGTGGAACTGGATATGTGATGCTGCAGGTATGTGTCACTGCTTAATATTTTTATTTAAACAAAAATATGATACAACGTTTAAAAGCATTTATTTGAAAAATAAATCTTTTTAAACATTATAAATGTCTTGTATTTACTGTGACTTTTGACCAATTTAATGCAGCCTTCCTGAATAAAAGTATTCATTTATTTGATAAAATCTGACTTACTTTTGAACGGTGTGTATATATATATATATATATTACAGAAAACCTGAACCGCAACATATACCATATATAAATCCGTAAAAAAAAATATGATAATAGAAAACATTGAAATATGTTGAGAATAAAGTTGAAATATTTTGAGATTCGGGTTGCCAGCTCTTCTCTAGTTACCACAGCTGCAGATACAAACGTGTCGGAAAACATTGCGAAACCAGAAAAACCTCCATATGAATCCGAAATACTTCATGACAAAGTCTGAAATAAATAAGTTATGGAAAAAAATCTGAAAAAAAGCATATCTGGCAACCTCATGTCAAGGGGGGATTGGGGATACACCGCTCTACAGTAATTTGAAAGTGATTGCAGTACCAGTTTTGGCCACAATTTTGCATACGGCTCCTTTAAGTAGTGGTAGAAAATTAAAATGGGCAATTGTTCCGAATATTTTTATCTGTATGCTGTATTTTATACCTATACGTTTATTTCATTACATCATCATTTTAGAAATATCTTAGCATCAAAATTTTTAATGGGCAGTCTTTTTTTTTTTTTAGATAGGCTATCTAGCTTTTTTTAAAAACCTTCCAAGATAAACCTAAAATCACAAATCAAACCATTGTGTGGCCTTATTTTACAGTGGAGGTGACTTTTGACCCAGAGACGGCCAACCCTGCCCTTGTTCTGTCTGAGGACTGCAAGCGTATGCAGTGTGGTCTGGAGCGGCGCGGGGTCTCCTGCAGTCTCAGGCGCTTCGACGGCTGGTGGTGCTGTTTCGGCTCAGAGGGCTTCTCGGCAGGACGCCGGTACTGGGAGGTAGAAGTGGGCGACCGCGACTGGCGTCTCGGGGTGGCCAAAGAATCAGCCATCTGCAAGGGCTACAGACCACTCAACACTCAGAGCGGATACCTCACCCTCAGGCTGGAGCGGGGGTCCGAGCTCAAGGCCCTGACCGCTCCGCCTACTGTCTTGCCCCAGTCGCTCATCCCGCGGAGGGTGGGCGTCTACCTGGACTATGAAGAGGGGCAGCTGTCCTTCTATGACATCCAAAGGCGCGCGCACATCTACACATACAACGAGAGGTTCACAGAGAAGCTTTACCCTGTGTTCGGGACGGTGGAGATGGTGCGTGAGATGGTGATCAGGCCTGCAGATCTGAGGGAGCGATGTCTCTGTAAGGGACAGTGTCTGTTCTTCTAACGTACCAAACGAACGCGCATACGAATTCATTCATACATTCATACAGTTCATTCATTTGAGCAATGCTTGGGGGTGTGAAGAATGTATTTTACATTTTGTAGAGTAGCTGCTAAAGCTGTAATTTCTGCACCACAAGGAATAAAAAAAGACTTGTTAAACAGTCTGTGATTGGTCAGACAAACAGATAGTCCCGCCCAAAACTCATGTCTTTAGTGCTGCAGTGATGATGTATTTTTGTAGGTCAACCTGGTTCCCTTGACCAAAACCCAATAGGATTTTTCCAATGGCTTTTGCGAATCATCAAGGCTTTCCTCAACTGGATCGCTTAAGGGTTTATTAATTGCAGTTTGGGATTATTGCAGAATGTGACCAACAAAAGTTTATGATTCTTACACATTTTGTTTATTTTCACAAATGAACACAACTTCAATGAATTTTGAAGACTAAATTCAATCATCTGAAGTAAAAAGCTAAACGTAGTCTATAAACAAACTACACCACTGTCGCATGACTTCACTGTCAACACCACATAGCATACAAAGATGCTTTTAGTCTTTTTTAAAAACATTTTTTTGAAAGTTTGAGTTGGAATAGTTTCCAAGAGCACGATTATAAACTCAAGGCTATAAAATGAATGAGTTTTCCTGTTCAGCTGATGACGTTTAATGACACATTAAGACACTTGTAACTGCCTTTTTAACAAGTAAAAGCTGTGAAAAGCAAAATACCTTATTTTTTCAAGCTTTTAACCAAAAACCCATTCAAACAAACCCATTGACTTCAGGATGATGGAACCGGACGTGCTAAAATGATCGTTTCCATGTTTTGGCTTACAAAAATACCTCCTGCAGCCAGTGATGGGGATGTGTGCTGTGACGGTTACTGTAGACTAAATGTGAACATGCATTTTCTCATCTCACTTGCTACTCAAAATGAATAAAAACAGTGAGATGCAAATGAAAACCTGCAATAATTAAATATGTTAAATAACACCAATATGCTTTATTTAACCTTTCTTTATTAACCAATTGCTTTTCTGCTGATGCAAAAATTGAGTTTCTTTCTAAGTCAAAAGCTGAACGTGTGTTTGAGCTGCGCCCTCTACTGTACAGGAGTGAATTTGCTTTCCCTTAGCCTGAGGCTTATTCATTTCACTTTTGGTGCGAAAGGGCCCTTTAAATTTGGGAAAAAATGTAGCTGTTTTTTTTTTTTTTTTTTTGTAATTAAAAAAAAACAAACAGGCAAGCCCAGCCCAGGTGAATAAAATTAACACAAAACTGATGCAACACAAATTACTTTCCATAAAAAGTAACTAAGTAATGCAATTATTCATTTTAGGGAGTAACGCATTGAAAAATCTCTTCTAATCTACTTACATTTGATAGAATGTTCAGCATTAAAAAAATTAACCAAAAGCGATTGTGTCATTGTAATATTGCATTCTGAATTATGATTTATTTGCATCTGTTTAACCATTCATTATATTTATGAGTACAGCCAACAGAAAATGATTATAATTAGCCCAATCCAAGGCCTAAACCCCAACTGTTCTTTTGCTGCCCTGAATGTACTGGTCCCTTAGGAAATGCAAATCTAGTTTTAACAAGTATTGGATGTAATCACATCTTACTCCATGTTTGTTAGTTTGTTTTTCAGTAACATTAGAAAGCATATAGAGGGCACTGTCAGCTCAACATAAAGCATTTCAGTAGGTACACAGTGTGCTAAAAACTGTTGATTGCACCTAAATATGTTTCTAATAAACCAAGCTAACACACAATGAGTCGACTGTGGTAGAATGATTTATTGTTTCATTAAGTGCGGTGAACTGATATGCAGTGAGAAGTTTTGCATACTACATACCTACATACTACAGCTTGAATATGATGGTGAAATGCAGTGATCATATAAAAATCTTTAAAAGGAAAAAAAATTTCCCCAAAGTCAAAAGTACCGAACAGATTATTCAAGGCAGTAAAAATGTAATTTAACCCATTCAGACCCTGTGTCCATTACAATGGACATCACATGTCACTGTCAGCCCCCTTTTTTTATCTTCTGGAGCATAGTTTAAAGCCTGCAGTCCATGAGATTGGACGTTTGTCATCCAATCAAATGCCAGTAAAGCTCTGCATGTAGTAATTAGCCTACAGTATATATATATATAAACCTCTACATTGAAGAGAAGCATGGCAGCACTTGTGTCATGGATAGATGCACTTTTATGGACTTTCAAAACAGAAAGAACCATTTACAGCCAATATAAAGCTTGGAAGGGCCAGGACATTGTTTAATATAACTCTGATTGTTTTCGTCTGAGAGAAGAGTGTCATATACACCAAGAATGGCTAGAGGGTGATTAAATCTGCTATAGCCTAATCTAGAACAAACACACACACAAATGAAGGCATGAGACTAACATTTGCAATGCAGAACACACACACATTTAAATGAATGAAGGTTAGGGGGTCTGGGTCATATAACGTGGGCAAATAAAAAACAATCAGTCATGAAACACAGATAAAATGGTTACATTTGAACACATTTAAAATACAATACATTTTACTATAGGGTTGCAGATGCATTTTGCAGAACCACAAATTAAAAAATATATTCAAAAAATGCTAAATATAGAAAAAAATATTTTAAAAAAAGAAGAAAACAATTTAGGCTAAGCTTTCTGGACTAAAATATATAATAAAATGGAGGGAATGATATGTTACAAGTAGTTTATATATATATTTATTTTTTGATATGTGGAATAGCTATATTATTTTCTTCTCAACTGATTAGGTATATTTCTCCAAACTAAGTTCAATGTGCCTAAGTTACTAGTTATATTAACACATTCAATTTTCCCACACAGCGACCTTCCCGCTTCCTCTCTGCCTACTGATCGCTAAGGTTTCTACCAGAGAAAGTCTAATAATATGACCGTAGACTGGCTTTGGTTTCTACCTAAAGTCAGTCCGAGCGCCAGCTCCAGGCTCCAGCTGCTTCTAGCCAATCCTCGTGCAGAAGGCGGGACTTGTGGGTAAAAAAAAATCAACGTAAGTCGGACCTTCCCGCGCACGCGCCCTGAACTCTCTCCCTTTATGTCTCGCGCGGTGGCCGCCTCCCGGTTTTGAGCAACACGGAACAACAAATGTAAAAAAATTCAAACACAAACACTGTTTTTAGTTCCCACACGCTAGTCTATCTGACTATTCCCATCGTCCCATAAATGAGTCATGGCGGCGACCTTCGGCAAGATCGTCGTGGGGATTTTTGTGGAGATAAAGCGCAGCGATGGTGAGTTCATATTTGGGTCGCTTGTAACCGACCGTTAAAGTATTTGCCCCGGTTCGGCTAGCGGATGCTAACGTTACCTCACAAATACACATGACAGAAACGACAGTTTGGGTGGTTGAGCCTGGTATAAATCGATATAAGCCGTTAAGTTTGGTCTGTTGCTGCTGGTTGCCGGGGTAGTTAACGAGCTTGTGTCAATCAACAGTGGAACTGTCGCTTGACGACGTTAGCCACCTGCTAAGCCGGGTGGAGTTTGTTTAGTTATCCCGCTAGTTGTAGCATTTGTTATAAGCTCAACAACTGGCTTACATGATGCAGATTATTGGGGAATTATTTGTCTTATACTGGTATGGAATATAATCATGGAAGTCCTGGTGATTCTGGATGTATGTGGGTTAGCCATCTTAAATCATTTGCCAGTATATGTTTTGCTTACAGACTTGGTGTAAATAGTGTGGAGTGGGAAGTTGCTGGGTTTATTCAAACTAGCTGGTTTAGCTTAGTAACTTAGTTTTGAGCCTTAAACTCACTGTAAGATTTTATTCAGCTCACTTAAGTTCACACATCAGTCACAAATTTGAAGTTATGACACCTGAGAGTTTACATATAATAATATGGACAGATGACTCCGTAAGTGTCATGCTTTGAAGATGACAAGCAAGTTCCCTAAAAGTTATGTAATGTCGGCTCAGATGTTGATCTCATCCTAATGGCCAAAAGAAATGCTGACAGCAGAAGCTTTGGACTGGTTGCATTATTATAGACGGACTATGATTTAGTGACTTATATACTCTATATTATATATAATATATATTAATAATATACATATAATATATATTTATATTACAAAAATTTACAGTTCAATCACTCACAAATAGAACCAAATAAAGGCTTTGCATGTAGCCCATTTAATGTATTGTTTGGATAACTAGTCAACTTAAAAAAAAGCAATTTAATTTTTAAAATTAAAAATGTGGCCAAATACATAGGCCCATATAAAAAACTTTAGATGGTAAAACAATTTTGCATAGTTAACAATACTAGTAATATTACTTTATTCTTGTTATTAAAGAATACAATTCCATTGTAGTTGTAATGTTGTGTCAAATCCAAACACAAATTGTTCTTAATATTTGTTATGGATACTTAAAAAAATCTGTATTTTATCGGTCACAAAAAGACAATCCATTTAAGATGTTTAATTAAGATTAAGACAGTAAATCTGCAATGACAATCAAATTAGTTTCTGGCTGCTGATGTCTCCGTACAGAAATGTAGATTTAGTGAAACATAGTGTTGTCTGTGTCTTTGGTATTAGCATCAATACAATGTTGAAGACTGTCAGAACAGATTATGATTTTATCTCTTTGAGAAGGCTGTGTTATATTTAACTTCAGTTTGTTGCAAAGAAACAAATGAGCCTGGATCTGTTGACGTGTTAAACAAACCACTCCTGTGACTGTCTCTTTTGGAAGTTTTGTGTATTGTGTAATAGAGATGACTGTTGACTTGCTCTCAGAAGACGAGCAGTGCTTGTGACATTTTAAACACTCTAAAGCAGGGTCTTGACTTTTCTTTTTGCCTGATGTAGCATGCAGGGGTTTTAAATAGCTTGTTTTATGGCAGGATAATATGTGCCTTTTCCTGCTGATGCTGCTGTTGAATAATTGCAGGGATGGAGACGTGCGAGTAGGAATAGTGCTGAATAATAGATACGGAAACATGGCTGTATGTTTTCGGTGATGCTCTGAGAGACTTTTTAGTAGTTGATGATCACCACTTCTGATGCAGGGTTTTGCGTTCATGCCATCTTGTACACGACCTCTTCAAGATCCACTCAAACTTTTTTTTAGAATTTCAAAACACATGAATGAATGTTTTTCATTTGTCTTTCTCACTTAGAGCTGTTGGATTTCTTACAGGGCGAATACACCAGGCCATGGTGACCTCTTTGAATGAAGATAATGACAGTGTTACTGTGGAATGGATAGAAAATGGAGACACCAAAGGGAAAGAGGTAAGTCTAGTAGCCTCTCAGCTGCCTTTGTTATTAATTATGGATGGAACAACATTCTTGTGTTGTTAGAGTGCAGTATACCCTCAGTCAGTGGACACGTGCTGTGTTTCTTTTAAATATGAATTCTGCAATCATACCTTGGCCTGTACCTTTTTTAATATTAGGACATTCTGTATGCTCAGTGTAATTTTAGTTTAGAGATGCTATTACAGTTTTTATGAATACTTTGAATAAGTTTTTATTTATATATTTTCCATTCTAGTTAAATATGTAGTAGTTTTTGAAGTTGCAGTTTTTTATATTTTATTTTAGTTAACATTTATTTTATTTCAAAAATGTGTTTTTAGGGTTTTAGTTAACTAATAACCCTGTTTTGGATAGAAGTGATGCAAAAAAAAAAGTTTATTCTTGTAATTTTTCTTTTTTTTTTTTTTTTCTAACAGATTGATTTGGAGTGCATATTCTCCCTAAATCCAGATGTTGCTGCGGAGGAAGAGATTTCCTTGAGCCCTGTTACACCACCGCCTCCTACACCCAGCTCTGTGAAAGTCAACAAAATCCCTAAGGTTTGTACAAGATCACAGTTAAATGTCGAGTTTGCACTCTAATTGTTTGCATCTTTTGAACCTTTTTGTATGCTTTTGTTTGTTTAGAATCGTAGAACTATTGCACCGGGAAGAAGTGAAATCCCATCCAGAGACAACAGAGGTATATTTGCTGTTATATGAATCATGATTAGGGCTGCGTAATAAATCAAAATAATTTCTGAATTGCTGTATGCCCATGTGCGATTATTAATGAGGCTTTGTAGTTTTTAAATATTGCACACTCCATAAGAACTTTATCTTGACAGGGTTCTCTTATATAACAGAATTATAATGTTCAGTCCTATAATTATTATTTGAATCTTTAGGCAAAATATTTTTAAAAATCTAAATAAATAAAAAAGTTTGCATATGTTGGCTTTTAGAGAAAAGAATATGGAGTCCATACTTGTTTAAGAGGCCCCGAAATATGCAATTTGGTGCAGTTTTTGAGATGGGCAAATAGGAAGATAAAATTCTGATAACTTGTAATGTAAATCAATGTGATCTTTATAACAGTATAGCAGACTACTAAATAAAATGCATATTTTTTCCAATAAGATGATATTTAAATGCTTAGTTTTATGATCAATGCTGTGTAGTTTTTATTGTGGGGTGTAAAACATATAATGCGATGCACCTGCTGTGTACAATAGGTTTTTCAGCAAAGTTTTAAACATGTTGAGAATTAGGGTGACCACAGTCCCGAAATGGGGAGCTTACAATACCCATAGACTGTAAAAAATATGGACAAAGCGTCTGTGATGTCACCCATGGACTTTATGAAGAACAGTTTTGAGGCTGTTGGGCGGCGCCATACTGGAAAATCTTGGGAAATACAAAATACAAATGTTCAGAAAGGATACAGAGGTTGTATGATGTGTTGTG